GGTTTAGTTCAGAGAACGTTCAGGTTTAGTTCAGAGAACGTTCAGGTTTAGTTCAGAGAACGTTCAAGTTTAGTTCAGAGAACGTTCAAGTTTAGTTCAAAGAACGTTAAAGTTTAGTTCAGAGAACGTTCAAGTTTAGTTCAGAGAACGTTCAAGTTTAGTTCAGAAGACGTTCAGGTTTAGTTCAGAGAACGTTCAAGTTTAGTTCAGAGAACGTTCAAGTTTAGTTCAAAGAACGTTAAAGTTTAGTTCAGAGAACGTTCAAGTTTAGTTCAGAAAACGTTCAAGTTTAGTTCAAAGAACGTTAAAGTTTTGTTCAGAGAACGTTCAAGTTTAGTTCAAAGAACGTTCAAGTTTAGTTCAGAGAACGTTCAAGTTTAGTTCAAAGAACGTTCAAGTTTAGTTCAGAGAACTTTCAAGTTTAGTTCAGAGAACGTTGTCAAAGAACGTTCAGGTTTAGTTCAGAGAACATTCAAGTTTAGTTCATAGAACGTTCAAGTTTAGTTCATAGAACGTTCAAGTTTAGTTTAGAAAACGGTCAAGTTTTGTTCAGACAACGAAAAAGTTTTGCTCAAACAACGAACAAATTTTTTAAGTTGGAACAGCAAAAACGTTCCAAGTTACTATCAATTATTGGAAATTGTTCCTCGTAGACTGCTGCACATCAGTTCCTTGACTGCTACTTGTTTGTCTTGTTCAGTATAATAATGCAAGTGCATGTTGAAGATTCTGATAACAAAAAAGTATATAATAATATTGTTCGTGCTCGACCACCGAATGCCTGTTACTTGTCTTTTACAAGTTAGTGGTTCATGGGGATTTAGAACGTTATTATCTTGTATATTATATGAACGTTCATGTTACTGATAAGTACCTACTATTTATAAATTGTTCGAGTACGATATCCCCATGTCATGTTTTTGACTTGAGTCTTTATGTAGAATTGCGGACAACTTCATCCCCGGAATATATGCCCTGATTAGCTTATCATGAGTACATATATAAAAATTTGGTTATTAATTTGTTAAATAATTTCTTATTTTTTGCTAATAATTGCGCGTCAGTCACTAGCTTGCGACTCCTTTGTGATCTCTGAAATAACAGTATTAATGCATTGCTATCTATGGAAATAATGATAAATATTTACCAGTATATTCGAAGGACAATACATGCCAGTTTGTTTATTTGTTAATGCATGTAATATCATAATAAGCAGTTATTCACTGATATATATACCATCAATATAGTGTTATACTTCAACATTTGATAGACAAAAACACACCGATCTCGCCAAACTTATGGTCGTCGTGTTGCATGCTTCAATAAGAATGTAATTTTAATGTTGCATGTCATGATAGAACAGCTACACCGTTGGCTGACGTCTTTTTGATTGCACACTGCATGGTTTTATTTTTATTGCCTCGCAAAAACTTTATAGTATGTAATCTGCAAAGAATCTTGCAACGTTGATGACCGTGCATTCCAGTCAATGATGTTGTAAAAATAAAAAAGAACTGAATTTCAGAGCTTGAATTGTAAAGTGCTTTTAATTGGAACTTATCTGCAGGTATAAGCTGAAATTTCCCTTCCAGTGTCTAAAGTGTTCTGAACTTGTGCAGTAAGTTATGTATGTTCCTAGTGTCGATTCATCAGTCATCGATTCAAAATCATGATTTAATTCTACGTAAGTCCGTTCCGTCGAGGGGAATTTTTTTTTTTTTTTGCACCGAAAGCTGCATTAGTATTTAAGTGACTGGAGAGTTGATGGCGCAGCGATGTATCACGCACAACAAGTATTCGTCCACCTGCACAAGAAGAATTCCTGCGTGGAATACAGTGCTGTATTTTGTATAAAATGCAACAAAATAAAAATACAATATTGTTGTGTTTGTTGTATAAGAATGTAGCTAGTAGAAAACCAGACATTGTGTTATCCGGAGTATTTTCATGTACGAAACCCTTACTGCACAAACCATTGAAAGTAACATAAATTATTTAACAGTGATATTATTCAGAATATATTGGAAGTGTTCGAGTTGAAAATATTAACGTATCACAATACGGTGATCATGATAATCTCACAGCGTATTGATTGATGGCACCGCACTGTTCGATGGCCATTCTAACGCTGTCTTCAAGACCTGATCCCGTCACCCTGAGCTGCAGTCGCGCGTTCAGCCCCGCTGTGTCCAAGCTGTCGTCCGGGAGTAGCTGTTACAAATCAATAAAATTTGCGTGATTAATGGATTATTGGCAACAGTAATAAATAATTTTATATTGTTATATAAAACTATTAAGACGAAAACGATTCATTAAGTGATCAAGATGTTCTCTTTATTTACAATTTTAAAGGAAGGACTTTGGTTGCGTTCATAGTCACGCTGTCCATTCGCTATTTTCACGAGCATTTGTGTATCTGATTTGTGAATTCATGATTAAGCAGCTGCCTGTATCAAAACTCGTATTATATATCCCACAATTTTTATCTATCAATTTTTCAATCAGAATGCACATAATTTCCGACATAAGTGACCATGACCCGCACTCACAAGGCCACGCCCTTTAGTGATGCACTTGAGGATTTGCACGGCAGTTGGCGACCGCAGGGATGACGTCAGCAAACCCGTCAGGCCAGAGTGCAGTGGCCCTCGCATCCCTTCAGCCTCACTTTGGTTTTCTGCATAATAGTTTAATGCTAAATTTGACAAAAAAATTTGATTGTTTAATGCTAAACTGACATTATTTAACAAACTGACCGAATGCTGAGCTTCAATGGCTGCAACGAGGTCTCCTCCTCTTCATCTTTTTGAGAATGATTTAGAATGCTATCCTATTAATTGAAATACGTTAAATTTGAGGAAAAAACAGCATTTTTTGGTCTTCTTCAGGAATCTTGGTAGAGATTAAAGCTTTGATAATTACGTCTCTGGAAATTTGGTAGAGCCTGTAATCCAGCGACGGTTGAAGAGCTCATGATGTGTTAGTCTGCTTGGCTCGACAGTTATTTTATATAAAAAAACAATATCTTAGGAGAGCTCGGACTCGTCTCAATGTCATAAAATTTTACCAATTTCAGCATATTCATCTTTTCGACAGGAAAAAATTTGTCCATTTTTGATTCTGTAATGGCAGCGTTTGTAAAGCAAAGCGAATAGCAGCCTTTTTAAGCTTAAAAATAAATACCGATAGTATTTATTAACATCGAAAACATTTATATATGAAAGAATAAGTGATGCTATAAAGGTAGAGAATATGTTCCGAAGTGTACTAAAAAATTGTGTAAAAAGTCGATTGAACTTCGAATGTTCTTTCTCGGGTCGTAGTGTCACTGCTGCTTGTAACCGTAGTGAAGGCAACTGCATGCTTGTAAAGTGACATAACTGAATTTTTGATGTTGGAATTGCAAATCTTATGCTTTCAAAAATTTAGGTTTTTCCACAGATTCATAATAAAGGTAAAATTTTTTCAATTTAATAAAAATGATTTTTACAAATGTCTTTTTAGAGAGAGCCTTACTAAATCGCATGTTGTATTTTGCTTCAAGTAGGATTAATGTCCAAATTCGGTAAAATGACAACTAGAGGTTCTGTAAAAATCTTCACAGCCAAATCTGAAAATGAAGACAGTTTATGAAAAATTTATTCACCTTCGTTTAGTTTGGCAATAATTCTCTCGAGTCCTCCTTGTTCTGCGACGCAACGCTCCTTGGCGCTCTCGAGCTCTTGCTTCTCTGCAGGACTTTCCTGCAGAGCTTTGGCACAGCTGGCGGTTCTCTGCAGCACATCCGAGCCTCCTGCTGTGCAAACATTTACGGTCAAATTGGCGGCGAGTCTCCTGCATACAAATTTAAAACGGATCACGTCGCGCGAAAATTGATTAAAAATAATTAGTTTCTCATTCTTGTTCGTACATGATAATATCGTGCATGTCTATAGGTCGTACATGTTATTGATCACGTCACGTGAAAATGTATTAAAAATAATTAGTTTCTAATTCATGTTCGTACATGATAATATCGTACATGTCTAGGTCGTACATCTTACCGCTGGTTGCTGCCACGAACAAAGCGTTGTACAGCAACGCCCCAGCGACCATCAGCCTCATGGTCCCCATGCTGGCTGTTCTAATAATGATCCTCCGAACCTTGCGATGAATGTGGAATATATTATAATGCAGCGGAATAAAGTGGAGGGTTGGAAATAACCAATATTGTTTTTGCAGGTTTTTTGAGAGCTTTGTTGGAATGACTTTATTTAATTGATGATTAATATGTTCGAAGGACTTGCTGTTTCTTAATTCTTTTGGCGGAGTTTTTTTTTTAATTTATTTGCCTTGGGATAAGACTTGAATTGAGTGAGCGGTATTCATATCTATATCTAAGCGTTCAGTTTAGAACGACATTCTCAGTCGAAGAATGTAGGTGAACTGCAAGGGCTTGAGTGGCAAGTCGACCCAGTTGTTGAATGTTTCGACTGCTGTGTTGATATAAACCTTACTCGGAATCTTCCTCTTGTTTTTCTATTTGACAAACAACCCCAGTCTTCGGTTTGGTTTTCTCGTGCAGGCATGCTGCTTTACACGTGTAAACCAATCTTATATCCAAGAACTCTTCAAACCGCTCGTCACGGATGAGTTATTTGAAGTGTGACCTACGAATTTCTTTACTAAAGCTCGATATGTTGATTTGAAATATGTATTTTAAATTTGTTTTGTTGGAAGTAAATCGATTCTTCTTGAATTATTCTAAAAATGTTTATGTACTTGAATCGTCAGTGAAAATTGATGGCAGTTTAGAAATCACTGATATGGTACTGATTACGCAATACGTTTCATTACTGCTTATACGTTCTGATATTGCCATACTATTTCTGCTACCTAGTTTTTATCTAATCACTGAGATCACATAGGTAATACAATTTCCAGGGAACCAATCATTTTCAATTCTAATTCAACGAAAATGAATAATTCTTAAACGGAGAATGAAAAATGTTTTTAGCGCATTTTCTCATTTATGGAAAAGAGGCGCTATTGTGCTCGTCATGTCCGTCCGTCTGTCTGTCTGTCCGTACGTCCGTCCATGACCACGGTTTCGTCAACAAGAATATGAGCTCTCTGTCACTCACTGCAGTGAGTACTGAGTTATATTTTTTAATATTTATTTCAGTTGCATGGACGTGGACGAGTGCGCTGAGTTTGAGCCGTGTTCCCAGACGTGCGTGAACACTCCGTCGTCTTACAAGTGTTCCTGCGCTATAGGCTACAGGCTGCGCCCTGACAAGTCCACCTGCAAGGCTGAAGGCGCCCACGCACAGATCATATTTGCTACTAACCAAGATATTCGACAGGTGAGACGTCCATTTATTCTGAAAAATTTATAGGAGTGCCAAATAGTATTTGGAATTGGAAGATTATTGTTAACCTGTCCTTGAAACTCGACATAATGAATGATCAAGGCCAAAAATGAGTCTTCGTCATAGATTATTCCCTTAGATAGTAAAGTATCTAAAGAAAGTTATTTTGCAACCATTGTTATGTTTCAGGCTTCAATTCGCTAGGTACTGTCCTTACTTGATACATCGTATTCTTTTCGCTTCAAATTCTCTAGGTACTGTCCCTTTAATACATCGTATTCATGTCTTTTACCACGGACAGCTCTCCCTGGACGGACAGGAGTACATGCCTCTGGCGGAGGAGCTCCACAACGCCATCGCACTGGACTTCCACTTCAGGCGTGACCAGCTCTTCTGGAGCGATGTCCTCCTCAGCGCCATCATGGTCGCCCACCTCAACGGCACCAACAGCAAAGGTACTACTTGTTGCTACGTGCCACCCTGTCCCTGCAAAGTTTCGTTGTTCGAACATGATACTATTGCTTAAAGTTGTTATCTGTCACTCTTTACATGAAAGTTTATTTTATACTCTCTTTTTGTACAGCTATCGTCCGGTGGGGTCTGAGCAAACCCACTGGTCTGGCTGTGGACTGGCTTAACGACCACATCTACTGGCTCGATTCGAGTACATTGAGACTTGAAGTCTCTGAGCTGGACGGGTGAGTGACGTACAGTCATGATCACATTTAGTCACTAGCAAAGGCATCTCTTAGCTCAGAGGTCTTCGAAGTAGTCGATTACGAGCCTTTATTTCAAGGGCAATATGCCCGGAACGATTAATGTGCATAGTAACCGTAATTTTATTTGGAGTTAAGAAATATTCTGGCCATGGTGAATGAAGTAGGGGTATGAGGGTTTTTGAGGGGTGATGTTTTGACAGATCTGTAGAGAAGTTTTTTGTTGTTACTGCAGAATTGCTTTGATCACAGCCAAGGGATTGATTTTCTATGTTTGATTCCGATAAACTAAAATTTTATCAACTTTTACATATGTCTTCATTAATATGGCAGTCATCGTTTTAAAGGGTTTTTCAACTGAAGGGAGGACTTCTTCAGGTTTTTTTTGTTTGCCTTTAAATATTTGTAAGTATTGACTGTAGGTGTCTGAGGTCTTTAACAGCTTTTCCATGAAAACAATAAAAATTAAACAAAGGAATAACTATAACTTATTTATAACGTAATTTTATCCTCTCCAGTGCCAACCGCACGCCGCTGCTGTGGTCGGGGATGGACAACCCGCGAGCCCTGGTCGCCTACCCTGCCAAAGCTATGCTCTTCTGGACCGACTGGGGTAAAGTTGTATTAATTAGATCCCTAACATGATTATAAATACGTACTTCTTAACTATTTTAAACGACTTCTTAAACTATACAGCAGTCATTCTATTCTAGAACTTGATTTTCTGATAACTCTCTTTTCAATTAATTAGCGTTCGATAAATTCATTCTGCTACCTACATTCTGTTGAAAGAAAGTGGTTCAAAAATTTTACTATCTCATTTTCACGAGATTTACTTTGAAATTTGTTAATATAGCCTAAATAATTATTCCAAACAATGCGACAAGTGTTAAAATGCCCGTGCTCTTGAGAATGTGAACTCTATTCAATACTCCAGTTAAAACAAAATAATGAGCACAATTCCAATAAAACACAAGTTTTCTCGTACTTCCGAGTGGACAATTGGTGAAAAATGTTCATGAATTTTTTGTGCTAAATTTTCAGTGAAATAGGATTAAATATTTTAGTCATTACATAGTTCTTTAGTGAGCTGAACATGAAGATTTGTCTTATGAATTATCTCCAAATGAATATTTAATTTTTTTCCAGGCAACAAAGCCAGGATCGAACGCATCTACATGGATGGGTCTGGTCGCAAGGCTGTGATTTATGAGAACATTTTCTGGCCCAACGGCATCACCATCGACTACCCTACCAACACCATCTACTGGGTCGACGCCAAGAAGTCTACGGTCGAGTGCGCCGATCTTGACGGACTAGAGCGGAAGACTGTAAGTGGCCTGATCACATTTTGATATTTCTTTTCGGTTAATTCTGCTAACTTCAAATATTTATTAATATCTTTATTTTTTCATGCAGTTGCGCGGTGTTTTTTATTTTCTTGTCGGTTAATTCTGCTAAATTCAAATATTTATTCATTTTTTGGCGCATTTTCGTATTTATGGAAAAAAGGCGCTACTGTGCTCGTCATGTCCGTCCGTCTGTCCGTCTGTTCGGGACTTCTCGTTTTCGCCGACAAGAAAATGCGCTCTCTGTCACTCACTGCAGCGAGTACTGAGTTACATTTTTTAACAATAATTTTCTTTAATATCACGATGAAAATTCATATTTCAAATTATGCGTTCACAGATCAACGTGTACCCCGTGGCTCACCCGTTCGGAGTGACGCAGTTCGAGGACAACCTCTACTGGACGGACTGGCAGAGCAGCAGCATCCAGAGCATGAACAAGAAGACTGGCATGAACCTGCAGATGCTGCGCACCCACATTCCTTTCCCCATGGACATCAAAGTGTGAGTGTACGCTATGGATGAGAGCATTTTCAATGCAGGTGCCACAAGGGATCGTATTGGCTTACCTTGAACTAAGAATTGACGATATTTTAGAATTTTCGAACTGACGATGGAGCTTGAATCTCAAACGTTTTCTATAAGATATGGAGAATTTTGTTAGCTATTAAATTTCTGGAATTTAAATTGGAAAAGATTTTAATCTGGAAAACTATGGATGAAAAATTACTTGATTTGTGTGCGCAGAGTGCACCTGGCGCGACAGCCCATCCCGGTGCACAGCGAGCGCCGCGGTTGTTCCATCAACAACGGCCGCTGCACGCACCTCTGCTTACCAGGCCCTGCCAGCTACTCCTGTCACTGCCCGCATGGTCTGCTGTTGCAGCCTGACGGGTGAGACGTCGTTTATTCGTCCTTGTGTCCTCTAAACTCGACTTATTAAACATAGTCTTTATTTTCTGCAGTAATAAATTCAATCGGCGTCATTCGGTTGATGCATGGAGATACAGTTATCATGTTGAGAACAATTAGGAAAATAATTATTGATTTATTTGATCATGACCTTTTTCGGGCTTTCAATGCCTTCAAGACAAATAATATTGTATCTAACATGTTATGAGAAAAAGCAAACTGTGACTTTGTTTGCAAGACTTTCCCAAAAGTATTATTCATTCATCCACAGTCGAAACTGCAGCTCGTTCCCGAACCAGCTTCTGCTCTTCACGCAATCCAACAACATCAGAATGATCTCCCTGAGCAACGATACGATCGCAAAAGCACCTCTTAGCACTTCTCCCCTTCACTCTGAGCCGTTCATCACCCCTCCGAAGGGCGGTGCAAGTACTGTAGAGAGAGATAATCAGGACAGACATTCTGACCCTAACCTCATGAACAATGTGGTGCCGGTGGACAGCGTCAGGAATGCGCTGGCCATAGACTTTGATGACCGCCATGACATGCTTTATTGGACGGACGTGGGCGCTAAGACCATCAGCCGAGCGCATCTGAACGGCTCATCGCAGGAGCTTATAGTGCAGCACAATTTAGGTGAGTTACAGGAATATTGAATGTGAATTTTGTCGACTGAGTCGACTGTGAATTTTGTCGATTTTTCTATGTTTTTTTTCTTTTGTCGAAAACAATAGAATGCTCTCGTCGAAAACAATAGAAAAACAACTAAGTGTTTTATAGTTGATAATGTGCTGGCATAGCGGTAGCCTGCCTGAACTCAACCGTAGAATTTTTCTCCGTTATTCAAGTGTTATGAAGTTTTTATTGTAAAACAGAGTTCACGCTAGGCATAGCGGTAGCCTGTCTGAATCTCACGGCCGAACTGATCTTTATTTTACAAAAGTCATACAGTTTATAATATATTACAGAGTTCCCCGGAGGCATAGCGGTGGACTGGCTCAACGACAAAGTCTACTGGACAGACGACGGAGCGAACCGCATCGAAGTGGCCAACTTGGACGGGTCTCAGCGCTCCCTGCTGGTCTGGCAGAACCTGGACCGCGTCAGGGCCATCGTCGTCTGCCCTCAAGGTTCGACATCGAACCAAAAACTGCAACTTTGAGACATTGGACCAATTTAGATATATTTTCCATTTATAGAAATATTATTCCATCACAAAATGAATCGAAACATTTTTAGATATCAGCTATGATTCAAATTTAAAAACAAAAACCTGTTTACAAAATTAACATTTCACAGAGGGTTTGATGTTCTGGACGGAGTGGGGGGAGGAGCCGCGGATCGAACGCGCCCACATGGACGGAAGCAACCGCACCATCATCGTCTCCTCGGACGTTCGGTGGCTCAACGATCTCGCCATCGACCACGACTCCCGGCAGCTGTATTGGCTCGACGCCTGGTCCAGGAAAATTGAAGTCTCTGACTTCAATGGCAAAGGACGGACCACTGTTGTTGGTGAGACGCTGGGACTGGTTACTTTCTATTGCTTTAAATTTATTTGTGGGAAAAACGTCAGTAATTAACTGTATACAACTATATTGATAGTGTTATACAATGCAAGTAGACTATCTTGAAAAAAATCGCAAGCAGCAGGCTTTTTGAACTTTACCTTCAATCAATCGGTAAGGGTTTTGAGGCTTCTAATTCTAGTTAAATCTGAAAAGATTATATTAAAATTAAATGTAATTTGAACATATTTATCCACACTTAAACTTCACCTCTATTTTCATTGGTAAATGCTTGAATTTTATTATTATTGTGTTCTGTTTCTAGATCACCTGACTCACCCATTCGGACTAGCGGTGTTCGACGCCTGGCTGCTGTGGACGGACTGGGGCACGTCCAGAATTACTGCCGTCCTCAAGTCCAACACTGACGGACGGCACGTTCTTGTGTGAGTATATTACTGCCACCTCGTCAATGAGTCAATCAATTGTTCCAAAGACGCATTACAATTAGTTACTATTATAAATTACTGTAATCAGTACGGCAACCTGGGGCCATAGTGTCAAAACTCGGTGAGTGAACGCAAGTACTTACGCTCTATTTTCTTGTATATGATTGGTGGATTTTGCTTGAAAGGCCGTCAATGATTGGCAGATGAAGTAACGATCTCTTAACTACTTTTGAAATATCGGCCCTGGTAAAGATTTCGAATATTGTTTGCATTTCAGTGATTCGCCGCCGGGGAACGGGCGACGCAAGGCTCCCGCATCGTCATCGTTCAGTGAGAGGATGCAGGACATGTCACGTCTGATGGAGGTGCGAGTGTTCCACCGCAATCGCCCAAAGCTTCCACACCACGCCTGCATCGGCGCTCCATGCACCCACATCTGCCTCCTCAGACCTAACGGCTTTACTTGTGCCTGCCCTACTGGCATCATACTGCAGGTGAATGTGCAGGAGTTTAAATGTAAACAAATATAACTCAGTACTCACTGCAGTGAGTGACAGAGAGCGCATTTTCCCGTCGACGAAACGTGAACGGACGAAACGGGACGGACAGACAGACGGACATGGCGAGCACAATAGCGCCTTTTTTCCATAAATGAAAAAATGCGCTAAAAAGGAATAAAAGAATGTACAGGAGTTTAAACACTACTTTCTGAGACGCAGCACTGCAGTGAGCACTGTTAAATTACTGAGGACTTGACACGCAATGCGTACGCAGTGCGAGCGCTCTGCTGCTGTATCTATGGCGTTTTTATGTGAGAGTTTATCCCGTTATGTACGTACATCTGGTCAACGTTCTCATAGGCTCACTTTCAATTTATCTATAGGGTGCATCAATTAGTGTTCCACGGTCAAGTCCACCAACTCATGTCATAAACCATACGCCAACTTCCTATTCATGTTGTTGATTAATTATTCACTGGAGTGCGATGAAACAAGTTTCTTCATCTGGATTCTTCTGTCAGGAATCGATAGCTGTGCGAAAATAAGTGCAATTTTTTGTCAATTTCCAGAGAAAATTCGGTATTAACATGGCAATTTTAATACCAAGATAGTGGTGAATATTCGTCAGTGTGCATATGAATGAGGAGAAAGATTTATTACCTTGTTTGCTCTTCTTCCTAGGCCGATGGAATTACTTGCGCTGACCGTCCCGAGAAGGAGATCTTGTTGGCGCAGCTAAACATGATACGGAGCATCTCCCTGGACACCCCCTACGTGGTGGACGTGGTACTACCTCTCCCTCACCTCCACAACGTCGTCGCAATTGCCGTCGATGGTCAAACTGGTGAGAATTTTAACGAATAATTCTATAGTATTTATTAAATTTTTTATGTGTGTAGACGTCGAGCGAAAACTCACGGGGTTGTTGCTGCATTTAAACTATTTATGTGACGATTGGTGAAGAAAATTCCATGTTACATCTGATCCTATTTGTTATCAACTCATTCATTTCCAACTGTGTTGTTAAGTTTGCTGATGGCTTGTTGTTAATTCTGCTGATGGTTTTTTGTTAATTTTGCTGATGGGTTGTTGTTAATTTTGCTGATGGGTTGTTGTTAATTTTGCTGATGAGTTGTTGTTAATTTTGCTGATGGGTTGTTGTTAATTTTGCTGATGGGTTATTGTTAATTTTGCTGATGGGTTGTTGTTAATTTTGCTGATGGGTTGTTGTTGATTCTGCTGACGGGTTGTTATTAATTGTGTTATTTGCCAGGCGACCTGTTCGTATCTGACACGGGCGCGGGTGTGATCTACCGCTGCTCGGGCCACCGCTGCCAGAGGATCATCACCTCTGCGCTGGGGCGTGTCGAAGGCATCACCGTTGACACCACCACCAGAAAAGTACGATTCTTACTCATAAATAATTAAATCAAGTTACAGATCCCGCAGTAAAATTGATTCTTACTCATGAATGAAGAGTTTATCCTATTATGCCGCCGGGGAATGGGCGTTACAGTTCGTGCAGTACAGCGCACGATCAAGTTACAGATCGTGCAGTAAAATCTATGCACACGATTGTGTTTTAACAGTTCGTAACTGATAAAATGTAGAACGTTGACTGCATAAAATTATTTTATTCACCAAGTCCCATGTTCCATTTAGCACGAACAGAAATCCTGAGGGAATTTTTTTCTGAATTTCAGTTGTACTGGACTGACGAGAGCAGACATTCGTTGGAGGTGAGTGAGCTGAATGGCACCCGTCGCCGGGTGCTCTTCACTGATCTGGGCAACCCTCGAGGCATCGTCACCCACTTCCCCACCGGAGCCCTCTTCTGGAGTGACTGGAACGAGCAAAATCCCCGCATCGAAAAATCTTACATGGATGGCCAGAACAGGTACGCAATCCGTTAGTGTAAATCTGATTTTGTAAAATTTTGTTATAGCAATGGCCACGTTTATTCTATAGTCACAATTTTAGTCCATAAATTGACTGGCGATTGTGACTGTATTTTATATTTTCGTTGTAATTTTTTATTACCTATATTAAGATGATTGGTTAAAAACTGTGCACTAAGTGATGCGTGACCTTCTGTGAGACTGAATTCTATCTGATAATTTATGTTATAATTTAAATTTGAAAGCAATATTTTCATAGCAATGTACTGTATGTGTTTGAAGCGGTTTTTAGACCAGCATGGTAACATCCACTTGCTTCCTGCATCGCCTTTACAGGTGATGAAAATTGATCTTTAATCAAGATAAAAATTTGGACATCGAGATTAACAGTTTTACGTTAACCGTCATTCATTCAGTTACACTTTACAGTGTTAGAGTTTCAGTGCGTAAATTATCTTATCATATGATAGCTGAGCGAAGCTCGGCGAACGCGTTAACGTTAGTAAACAAAAATTATTTCCTGATACATGCCTTTCGATCTACCAATGTCATCTGAAGAATTGTTCGACTCTCTGATAATTATAAATTAAGAAATTCTCTTTTCATTAATCGCGCGTGCAAGAAGAAGCAAATTCTGCAATCTAATACTAATATAATTAGTTGGATCTATTTTATTTTATTTTATTTTATCTATAATGTAATTAGTTATCTATGTTTATCATTAGTATTGATTAGTAGTTGAGCTCCTTATGAGTTTAGTTCAATAGCTAAATGCTGTCTTTTAGATATGATTTCTAGCCTCCATCTACTGCTTACTTTTAGAAATGCTTACTAGCCTCCATCTTATTTACTTCCAATTCTTCACTGGTTTGTTGTGTCTCAGAACTGTCTTGGTTGACACGGACGTCGCCTGGCCAAACTGTCTGACCATCGACTGGGAGCGAAACGAGCTTTTCTGGACAGACGCAAAAACTAACAAAATAGAAGCATTGGCCTTAGATGGATCGAAGCGGAGAACTGTTCTCAAATACTCAGGTGCGTGCGCTTGAATTGGAATCTGCCGTTACAGACCGTTTCAACCAAGCATAGGACTCGAAGAAAACGGCATTTTCTTCTCCTAGAGTAATTTAAACTGAAATATCGAAAGAAAATAAATTATCCCCGGGCAAAAACTTTTATCGTGACATGTTCATCCTATAGCAATTTTACCATCGATATTTTAGTATACGAAACGAGCTCTGTTTTCCTTATCACCCTGCCACTCCTGTCACTGATGGTCCTGAACACCCTGTAGTGCCGCACCCGTACGGTTAACCATCGTTATTTTAGCAGACGAAACGAGCTCTGTTTTCTTTAATCCCCCTGCCACTCCTGATGGTCCTGAACTGCCTGTAGTGCCGCACCCGTACGGCATCGCGGTGCTGGACGAGTGGCTGTACTGGACGGACTGGAGCGACAAGAGCCTCCAGCGCGCGCTCAAGGCATCCGGCGAGCGAAACTCGACCGTCAAGCGCAGCATGAAAGCGCCCATGGATGTCGTCACGTGGCCGGTATTGTGACGTGATGTCAAACTTGAAATTAATGGAACAAGGGCACTTAATAATATCCTGATTTAAATATTTTCTTTGAATTTGTTCAACATATTCCACATTCGTTTACTTGTTATTTTTACGTTGATTATTTCTTCTTATTTTCACATTATACTTTGTTGATTTATTTACTGTTTAAAAATTTGTGATCAAAATTTATTTAACATTATCAAGAGCGCAATTAGATGATTGCCGAACATTAGTGTATGTATGATTAGTGTGTGCACGCTTTTCATGATTGCCGAAAACAAAACTAATCATCCAGATGAAATTTTCACTAAATCAAGAGTTCAATGCCTTGAACTAAGCGCCGTATTCCTGACAGTTGCCCGGAACGTCGCTGCAGTCGTCATGTTCCCGCAACAACGGACATTGCTCCCATCTCTGCCTGCGCACTCCGCAGGCACATTCCTGTGCCTGTCCCACGGGACTTGTACTCAAGGTATTAATAAATTTAATTTAAATTTAACGCAGATAATAACCATCAAATAGCCTATGCCTAGTATCATTATGATCAATTTTTCTTTTTGTGCGACAGTATAATTTATGGATCAAAGGCATATTAATTGAGAAAATCTTTCGGAATTGCAGCAAAAGAGAGATTGTGCCACAAGATTTGGCGAAAATAATTTACGATCGAATTTATTATCGGAAAGTGCACGAGCTAAAATACCATACAAAGCGATTAATATAGCGAGTACCCTAACTTTGTCAGTATTTTTATGTAATAACCACATTAATTGGGTCATTTTTTTATGCCTAACTAGACGAAAATCTTGCAGCCGATAGAAATCAAACTTCGCCATACGCGGACTTCGGCGCACGTCTACTCTGTATAAGATGAACGTACGCAGGACGGGCGTACGTTCACGCAGGACGGGCGCACGTGTTCTGGAGAGCCGACGCACTACCTGGTACTTTTCATTCACAAGTCGAACATTCATGTATCATTTACTTCACTTGTACGTTCATACAGGACGGGCGATCGTGTTCTGGAGAGCCGACGCACTACCTGGTGTTCGGTGGGAAGAATTATCTCGGGCGCATCTCGATGGACACGAAGCCTTTCTGGGATGTGGGCCTCGAGGTGCCCGGCATCAAGCATCCCGTTGCGCTCGACGTGCACTACAAGACGCAGAAACTCTATTACACCGACGCCGATAAAGACGCCATCTTGTGAGTAGATAATTTAGTGGTCTTACCTTTTGGTTACATGGAGACTTCATCTTGTTACTTGGTTTTCGAGAGTGTTGTAAGTTAGCAAGAATACGATTCAGCGGAGAGCCGTTCTTCAAAGAGGTGTGTGTGCATCTCTGGTTTTATTTTGATATCTAAGTTGTTTCCTTACTGGTTCATCTCTGAACAGTACAAGGATGAATTAAACACCTCTTTTTCTCAACAAACCATTCATAACTTACATCCGCCAGCGGGATATATCTCTGAACATACCCTGACCTACGTTCTGGACCTGGATTACCCTCAACTACAGTAACGTTTGTGCAACAAAGAGTGTGTATGGCAATGACCTGAATGTCTCATTAACTTGTGTGTTGTTACATTAACTCGTTTGTTACAGTGTGGTGTCACTAAACAACCTGAGTTACCCTGAAGTCCTGCTGGACACCTACATCAACTCCCCAGACGGGCTGGCGGTCGACTGGATCGCCGAGAACTTGTATTGGACCGACGCTGGACGCAAGTGCATCGAAGTTGTTCGGCTCACGAGGCTCTCCAGAAAAGTCCTCATCGACGAAGACCTCCAGGAACCGAGAGCAATTGCCGTCTTTCCCAGTAAAGGGTAAGCAATTGACCATGCATCACTAATTTGTTGTCAATATTGGGCTGAGTTCTGTTATTGCATGATAGTATGACTAGGGCTGATTTCTGTTATTCCATGATAATATTATATAGTTGCACCGTTCAATGTTCCTAATATTTCTGCTATCGATGACTGAGTTGTGCGAGATTGCGATTACAGATGAGATCCAAAGGTCACTGAATTTATATAACGGTCAAATCTTTTATGTAAATGTACTCAATTCCTCTTTTTATGAATCGATTTTTAATTGGTGGGGTACATGATGCTTTTCATACATTTTTAGGTTAAAGCTAATGAATTTCTCGAAGTTATCAGCTTCTAACTCATGAAAGGCTATAGTGCACAGTTTCCAATATTATAATTGGTTAAATTCGTTTAATGGTTTTCAGGTTCTTATTTTGGAGTGACTGGGGCGAGAACGCGTCGAGGATCGAGCGGTCGTACCTGGACGGTTCACACAGAACCGTGATCGTCAACACGAACATCGGGTGGCCCAACGGCCTCGCGCTGGACTACAAGTCGGAGCGTCTCTTCTGGATCGACGCGCAAGAGAAGCGCCTCGAGAGCTGCGACCTGGAGGGCGAGAGACGCCAAGTTCTTGTGACCGATCTGCCCCATCCTTTTGGACTTGCTTTAGTGAGCATTATAACTTGATAAAACGACTGCAATAAATTAAATCAAAAGAAGAAAATTTAATAGAACGACAGTCATAATCAAAACGAAAGGAGATAACTTAATAGAATGACTGCCATAATCTAAAGAAAAGGAGATAACTAAATAGAACGAGAGTCATAATCAAAATAAAAGAAAATGACTTAATAGAGCGAAAGCCATAATCAAAACAAAAGGAGATGACTTAAAAGAACGACTGCCATAAATTAAATCAAAAAGAGATAACTTGATAGAACGACTGCCATAAATCAAATCAAAAGGAGATAACTTAATAGAACGACTGCCATAATTAAAATAAAAGGAGAGGCAAAACATTATTTTAGCTTATTCTAGGTGGTTTCAAGACCTGCTTTTGGATTTAATTTGCCAATTACATTTTTGAATTTAATAAGTTATTCCAACCGAAAAAGAACAGTAAAGCAAACCACGATTTCGAGAAAAATATAAAAGTATCATGCATTTAAGAAATATATTCCATGCCGTCGCCCATGTATGTTGTATTTCATGTTCTCACTGAATGTCTGATAGGCTTTCTTGACAATACTTTACAGAAAACAAAAAAATCTATTCTTTCATATCTATTGCAATACTAGTTGAAAATTTAATTATTATGAACCACTTAAATGCGTTACAAGTCCATTAAATTCTGTTACCTTTATAAGTTAGCATCACTGAACGTCTAATAGGCTTTCTTTACAATACTTGACAGAAAACAAAAAATCTATTCCTTCATATCTATTGCAATACTAGTCAAAAATTTACTTATTTTGAACCACTTAAATGCGTTACAAGTCCATTAAATCTTATTACCTTTATAGTTATCAATGACCTATCACGTGAGTGAGAAATTATAAGATTATCAATTGTTTATTTTATGCAGATGAACTCGTTCGTGTACTGGACGGACTGGAACCGCAGTAGCATTGAAATGGCGGATAAAATATTCGGCAAGCCTCAGGCGGTCATCAGGACCGACATCAGGGTTAGTTACATCATAAATTTTGATTTTATACAAATTTTGATGGAATGCGTGAGGTTTTGATTTAAAGCCTGGAAACTCACTGTCGCATGAGAAACTCTCACCATTGCCTATGCCTTTTGATAGGTCTTTTATTTCTGCTTAATTTCGGTTAATACGTCATATTTCCTTATATTTTTTATTCAAGCATCATCTCACTGTTTATATTTCCTTCTAGGAGCCGATGGAAATAGTCGTTCCCTTTGGTTAATACGTCATATTCCTTATATTTTTTATTCAAGCATAATCTCATGCATTATATAAATATAAACATATATAAACATAGTTTATATTCCTTTCTAGGAGCCCATGGAAATAGTTTCGATCCGTAGCGACCTGCAGGAAGGCAGCAACAGCTGCGGCCACGAGAACGGCGGCTGCACGGACCTCTGCCTGTACCGGCCCGAGGGCGGGCACGTGTGTGCCTGTGGGGACGAGCCGGACCCTCACTGCTCCACTGGTCGGTCTAGTTACTTCTTGCGTTATTACCCAGACCCTCACTGTTACAATAGAGGGTTTAATTACTGCCTGTGAAGAGACTCTAACCCTGCTTTATTCCACTGAAAAGTATTATGATAAAGTATGTCTTCAGCAGATCGTGTGACTGTTTTCGGCTACTTTCTCGCGTAGCTCACGAGCCAGTTTCTTTCAGACATTTTCATAATACTTCTAAAATCGTCTGTCATATTCTCGTCCCGTACTAGAAAATTCGTTTTTCCGGTATAAGAGAATGTTAATTGTACTTTTTTTTAACAGAGAAAGGAGGGGCGAAAATCGCCGGAGTCTTGGACAAAGACAGCGAATCTAAAGGTTCGCTGCCGTCTTGGCTGCTGCTGGTGTTGACAGTAACGCTCGCCTTGATCCTGCTGCTGGCCACCGTCGCTTGTTGCATTAGGAGTCGTCAGCAGAAGATGGAACTTAGCATCGCTCCTCCTCCTATAGACGGCGGATCTCTGACTTACACCAACCCAAGCTACACAGCGTCGCACTCCGACATGTCGTGCGAGCGACGGCCTTTCACCTGGCGCCGGCTGCACCATCCGGACAACCCGCAGGTTCGGAACCTTTTTTATTTGCGCATAAATTTATGTCATATTTCTAAGCTCAATATAAGTTCTGCGAAATTTTTGAAGTTGGATAAGATTGATCGGTAAAATGAATGAGCGGCACCCACGAAAGAGGTAAAATAGGTCGAAATGCTATGCATAAATAATGGGTTTTCGTTCCCGGATATTGTCGATGGGAATTATCTCGCGGATATGTATTTGGAGATTATTTGTCATTCAATCCATGGTCATTTCACTGCATCCATTGATATCAATGTAGAAAAAACCCAAAACTATTCATAATAATTACCTGTGATAATATAAAAAAGTGAAGGGTTTTCGGGGTAAAATTCTTAATTATCTTCACAAATGACTGTTTAGTTAGATAAATTATTACTATTGTTCATAATTTTATATCTTATCTAAGCTACAATCATTTCTAAGCTTTGAAATAACTGGAAGTGAACATTTTCTTTGTTGCAAATGATTTATTATCTCAATTATTTTAACATAAACCACTGATGCAATTCTACATATGAATCCACCTACTCGCACGCTTTCAATGAGACTGCCTGCATGTTAGGTACCCGTACATGTGCACAAACTTCGTCACTTTAGTGGAATAATTAATGCCCGTCCTGTATAACTTGATCGAGGTTTCCCTTCTATAATTTTTTTCCTCGGCTATCCACACTAACTATTTACACACTTTTGGTTTTGTGCCTGCCTTTCTCGATTGTCATTCATCAAGAAACACTGATTTTTTCACTATCCATGGAAAGCGTGGGTTTGGTATTTTGATTCAAATGAGAAATAAATTTCTGATTTTTTAATTGCTATAGATCACTTGATAGTATGATCTTCAGCTTGGTGTAAATGCACTGACTTTTTCTGGGCTCTGGATGCTTGCTATTGAGCGTATCGAGCTTTGTCCCAAGCTCAATCCCAAGTTACCAGCTCACAATGAGCCGGTCTGAAAACCCTGGTTCAGCATTCAGCTACAGACTAATCCTTGAAAGAAAGAGCAGACGAATCCTTGGTTTTGTACGGAATGTTTCTCTCATTTCAAAATCCTTGGCATGGTCATGGAATGTTGTCATGGAACAAGTTCTCAGCTCCCTGACAATTATTATAAACAGTACTAGTGAGGCCAGGAACAGGATATAAGGCAGTGCAACAAGCAGCAGCATCCTGCGCTGACCCGTCCATGTACTTATCAGGGTCGCTTGTTCGACGAGAAGGCCGAGGTGGCAGCTTTGATCAGCGAAGGCAGCAGCGTGGAGCATGAGAGTCCTCCTCCAACTCCCCCCAAGCACTCAGCCTCCTAGCATCAAGCCCCAGGGGGTGTGGTCGTTACTCCACCTCCCCACTACACTTTTTCCGAGAGTGATGCACTCGATAAGGTTTCTCACTTCGATCCACTGGAAGGAGACGCTCAGTGGAGGGGTTCACGCTCGTCGCTGGTCATGCTCAACTTGCCCATAGCTTCATCACACTTCGCCCCGTCTATCAAACCTCGAGATCTTGCTAAACGACATTAGGTTGACGTGAAGTAGCTTTCTCTTAGTAGTAAACTTCCAAGATTTATTTCATTTTTTTGAGAAGATGAGCAATGTTGACCACAAGAACTTTACTGACGAGAAGTGCATTTAACTGAAAACGACTCCAGTGAAATGACTTTGGTAAAAGCGAATTTCCTGTACTATTCATACTTTTTCTTCCAGTTAGACACACGTGTGCCAAAATGTGTGCCACTTTTATTTTAAGCTTTAATTAATTTATCTATAAATTTCACTGCACGTGTCACGATGCACATGCACTTGATTTATCTCAAAAACACTTGTGAGAAAATCAGTCAAAAATTTTTAACGAAAAATTTGCAGCTTGGACGGAGCCCTGAAACTTCTACTGAGGGAGGACTTCAGTCGTGCTGCTTCTGCTGCACAGGCTCTCGGCCTCAGCCTGCAAGTGTTTGAAAATATCAAAATCATTGGATATTTTCTCAGAATGATTTAAAAATACTTTAGGTGTCAAAGTTTGGTCACCTCTACTAGGGTTCCTGTAATTTATTTACAACTCAGTGACGGCATGAACATTGTACTTGCTATTAATTAACTGAGAAGGTAGCTAATGCCATCACCAAAATAACTTATTACGGACATTATGTTCATGCTATTTCCTCTCAAAAAAAAGCCTTTATTACAAAAATAGCTTTTATTATTACAGATAAAGTTACCACTTGTGGTGTTTTCTTGTTTCCAGTTGGATATAAGGTGTCATAAATCACTGATTTTATAGGCTTTTATCACGTGACTGTTTTTTATCGAGGATCGTTGACAACAGTTTGGTCATCATCGTATAGTCGCAGGATAATTCTAACTTTATCCTTAACGTTGCTTGTTTTCCCCAACTACGCTGATAATCGTGAATGCGGTGCAGAAAACGATATGATCGTCTTAGTGACTAACGATGATGCTATTATTTGACCTATGATCGTGAATGCTGTACAGAAAACGATATGATCGTCTGAGTGACTAACGATGATGCTATTATTTGACCTATGATCGTAAATGCTGTACAGAAAACGATATGGTCGTCTGAGTGACTAGCAAAGATGCTATTATTGAGAGCATCTTGACCTTGATCGATCCACCTCTCACGCTCCTTGTAAGTCAGAGTCTTGACTATGATAAGCTTAAGGTTATATTCATAAGAGATTATATTTGTACTTCGCAAGCAATTTAATTTCTTGTGAAGCATTGTATTTTTGTAGAAAAATAATTATTATACATGAAGACAATATATGTGCGGTGTTTTTAAGTAGGTTTAACTAAGAGTTTTTTTATGATTCAAGTATTCACTGAAGTGAACTGTGCGAGTATTAATAATTGTGAACCATTTACTCTGATTATGAACTTGTTGACGCGAAGGTTCGACGAAGTGAATAGCGTAAGTACCAATAAAGTATGACCCATCACGTCTGACAATGATCGTGAGTCTTTTTACATACGTGGTAGCGAAATTTTAGAATTCCATGCATTTTTAAATCGTGTATATTTACTGCTTTGCTAACGCATTAATTCAATACACATAAACAAACTTGTACACAGGGATAATATACAAATTCTGGAATTAATCAAGTGATTACACGAAATTTTATATATTTTAGCTGTTCATGGAAAAAATGTCTGGCTTATGGTGTCGCAAATTGTAGTGGTGCGCGCCTCTCATGCTAATTAATTAATTAATTAAGACGAGGTCAACAAGTGCTCAACGTACCAGAAAATTTTGTAATCCCACTTTATTGTTGTCATAGAAAGATCGTAGTGTGCATTCGAGCTGTAGATTTGTTACCTAGCAATCTTCTGGTGTATAGGCGCTCGCATCTCCCGGGCTGGAGACTACATCTGGTCTCGCGAGTTCTTGGTGAATATCTGGCTTCATATTTATAAGTAAAAAATTGGTTGGCTTGTAGATTTGGTTGTTGAACATCGATTAGTTTTGAGTATTTTGGACCTGTTCTCAAAGATTTTCACGCGTTGATCTTACGCTCGAAAATTATTAGAGTGATTCTATCGTGTGAAATAACGAAGCCTACTAAGTTTACGTTCAAAAACCATTCCGGTTTTTTATTCTTAGTTTTGAATTTATTTTTGGAAAAAAGAAAATTATATCATAATTATTGTATCCTTAAAAATTGGAAGCAGCCAGCTTCGATTTATTTCCGTAAATATCCTCGGTAGATTCAAATATCTTTCTTTTGAATATAATGAATGTAATGATCAGTTGTTTTAACGCTTGTTTAGCTGCGCTTAAGCTGCGAACGTCATTTTTTGAGAAATAAAGTTGACTTTAATTAGGGTAAACTTAATGCACATTCAGTCAAATGAGTCATCTGAGAAAGAACTCGCAAGCTCGAAAAATATATTAGGTATATTAGTTTCCAGGAGTCCTTCAAGAGCCGGTGCTTTTTTTCTAAAAAAAAAAATTTTTTTGTGGGACAAGCATTCACAGTAGAGTCCTGACTCGCGTATTTCGATGTGTTTTCAAGTTAAGAGAGGACTTGTGGCTCCGGTTCTGTGGCGAACTCTGCTTCACTCCGTTAAATTATTCTTAATAATCACCATAAAGGAATGATCCATCCGGCCTGGCCTAACGTTTGTGATGACGGCAATTGATAATAAATTGATTTCAAACATAGGCGCAATGGTTTCATCGAGTCAAGAGTTTTCATATGCAATGTTTCTTTCGGAAAACAAATCGAAACTCTGGAAAAAAGGTATGATTAATATATCTAAAGTATTTTATTTTATATTTTATTTAATGTCTCATGACAACCAAATTCCTAATTTAATGAGCTCCAGGGAACCGAATGCGCTTAGGTTTGTGTAAAATTTTTCTTTGTAGGGACCACTAATAAGGTAAGGGGCTTGGTAGACGCAACTGGCACGGCAATGACGTTGGAATAACGTTTACTTAAAGTTGATTCAACGAAACGACGTTCAATGTAACGTATTTTTAACGTCAGATGTATGGTGGCAATGTTCAATAAGCTGCACACTTGCGTGTCTTAGCTTAGCTTCACATAGCGAAGATGCTAGACTGCTTCTGACTAACTAGCGTGTCGAGCCAAGCATTGAAGCTCACGAGTGGAATGAGTGCAGAGACTACTGAACAAATTGCCGAGCCTCTTAGAAGAAAGCACAATGAATTTTATAGAAAGCTGCGTATGAAATTGCTTATGAGAAAATAATCATCACAGAATGTGATGACGTGGTAGGTATTCACGTGTTACAATAGGCATGGTGTAAGCGAAGCAGTTGTTTCCATGCCCGTTAGCAAAGCTCTTGGTTGATGTCCGTACTGCACCAACTCGTTGATATCTGGCACTCAAGCTGTTGATGTTCTTTCAAAGTATATAAATATATATAATATAATCTTAGATATATTTGAATATTTTTTGCGCATTCCTCGACATGTATCAACAAAGGGAAGTATAAAGTGTGAAGTCGGTCGAATTTACATAGTTCGTCGCGCCAAAATCAGAGTTCAAGTTGACGGACACTCTGATATTCGTATAAAATGTGACCTGCTGATTAGTGAATAATTAATTAGCTTGGGTCTTCATTTATTTGTTTTGTACAGCGCTGAAAAGTGCCGCTGCAGCAACGGTCTAATCCATTGCCTAACTGTTGCGTAGATTGTTGCGTGTTTTAATAATAGATGGTCACTTCATCATTATTTTGGTTTAACCTCTCGCATTAATTAGCAGTATTACAGTGCGCATCTTATCTATCAATCGATAAATATTTTCATAAATAGTGATAATACCGATTTATATTAAAGTTAGAATTAATACTTTTTTTGTTGTAAGCTGTTATTGGTTGTATATGTTGTCAGATTCTAATATTCGTATACAATAGCTATTAAATACAATATTTTATCACTCCTTACTGTGCTACGATGACTCGATTTTTACGACCACGATCCAACCTCTCAATAATTCCACGCATATACTACCTATAAGATTATTCCTCTGTGAATTACTCGCGAGAAATTCATGTCAAATTCATCATTAAATCGAGGATTGCTATTAATTATTGAGTTCAAATCTGAATTGGCGTGATCGAATTTAATTCTTGCACATTTGTTGGAGAGTATGAAGTTCCTGAAGCTGTGAAAATAAAGTGTTTTTGCCGCCTCATGACTGCACAAATTATTCCAATGATGAACATCTAAAAGACTGCGAGTCTCAATATTATATACGGTCTCAACATTAAAATATTGAGACTGCCTATATACGGTCTCAACATTAAAATATTGAGACTGCCTATATACGGTCTCATCACTAGAATATTGAGACTGCCTATATACGGTCTCAACATTAAAACTTGCCAAAGATAATCGTATTCGCTCTCTCACGATATAATGTTACTGATAATAATACTTCAACATCCAGATTCTTCACAAAAAAAATTTTCATTATCGGAAAGTGTTTACAATTTTCATTTTGAACTGTCATTTCCAACTTTATCCAAATTAAGTGATTTTATATTCATTGCATTTCATTCAAGACACATTTTTCTCATATCTATACTTTTTTATTCTTCTCATTCTTTCTCAATAAAACATCGAGAAAAGTATCACTGTACTTATAGACTCTTTCCTCGATATACGATATAACCCTGGAGCTGACCGCCTTAGTTAAACTTTAAATAACTTTGACTCTTATCAGCATGTTTGTATTGGCATGTCAATCATGAATAAGTCTGTGTTATCGTCGAAATTTATTAATTAAAGTTCATACATTTTCATACAGGATTGTGAGTTTTTAATTTTGGCTCATATTATGTGTAACTATTAGTTTATGATCGAAATGTTTTTTCCACAGAGTTTCGTTCGAGTTTAACGCATTTTGATTTTCATGTGTTACATCACCAGTAGGGTGGATGACTAATTACAAGCTAGACCCATTATCTCGTATCGCTGACTTATTCAGCTTTACCGCAAGGACCAATGCAAAAACAATAAAAGCATAATAAATTAACAATATATAAACAAGTTAGAAGACTAACTTGACCTAACTGAGTTACCTGTCTTGCACCACTTTCTACGTTGTTCACTAACAGCTTTTATCAGAACTTCATTGCAGCAAAAGCAGCTACCATTATCAGCTCTGAGTCACCAGCATCATTAAGTGTCTCTACTCTCGTCGCTTGTAATGCGTTGTTTTTTTTCGAATTTATATCCACCGAGGTATAAGAGAATTATTGTTCCCTTATTCTAAAAAAATTACCCTTAATTGAAAACTTCAAAATTTTATTAGAAAAATTGGAATTCAAAAATTAAACTTAAATCGTGAAATTTTTCTAAAAGCACGAATCTATAACGAAACTCAATTGAATAGCCATTCAAACCGCAATTTCTAACTTTAAACATAATTAATCTTGAACTATCAAACATGATGCTCCTCAAGGCCTACCTAGAACGTTTAACTGTCAATAATCAGGGCAGGATTATAAAGTGTTATAATTTGCAGCACACTACGCCGTGTGTTATTATTACGAGCTTTTAATAACTACTAAACAGAATATACGCGTTGCGGTCCTCGTTACCTGTATTTGTTTACTGTAATACTGAAGGGCGGCAATAGGAGAGGAGAGGTCGCCACGTTTGAGATCAAAATGAATTTTTAATTGTTGGTGGCGAGGGAAGTTATCGTGTCTCCTGAGAAATGCTTCAATAAAGTATTGTTTTCCACTTGCCTTATATTTTTCCTTCTTTTACTGAAAAATCGCACGAGCCATTAAAATTCAATTAAATCGTGTAAATCTACGATAATTAAAATTTAGCGCAGGGATATTGTGTCAGAATTGTTGTGAAAAATTCTTAACAAATTTTAGCTCACATTATGGATAGAAGAATGTAAATGAGTTCTCTGTATATTATTTCTGAATTATTAGCAAAGTTATTCCGAAAATGCCACTAAAATGTGTACAATGACAGGAGTGACGCACGCTGTGGAGATAAGTTAATGTAGGAAGTGACGCAGGTTGTGGAGATCAGTGCGATGTAGGAAGTGATGCACGCTGTGGAGAACAGTGTGATGTAGGAAGTGACGCATGCTGTGGAGAACAAACAGTGCGATGTAGGAAGTGACGCACGCTGTGGAGAACAGTGTGATGTAGGAAGTGACGCACGCTGTGGAGAACAGTGTGATGTAGGAAGTGACGCACGCTGTGGAGATCAGTGTGATGGAGGAAGTGACGCATGCTGTGGAGATCAGAGCGACGTAGGAAATGACGCACGCTGTGGAGATCAGAGCGACGTAGGAAGTGACGCAGGCTGTGGAGAACAGAGCGACGTAGGAAGTGACGCACGCTGTGGAGAACAAATGCGATGAAGAACGTAATCGAGTGTGTTAAGCTAGTGATTACTGAGAACATCACTAGTAAAAGAATATTAGTAATGCCATTCGTATATATATATCGTATACGTATGTATATTTGTATACAAGTTCGAGCCATGGGCTCTGTACATATACATGGATTCTGATTAATTTTTCTGTAATCCTTGGCAGATTTAGTATAAGCTCACGCAAGTGCAGTATTCGAACCTACATAAACCTGGGACACCAGAGGCTATAGATAACCTCAAGCTTAACTCTTTTAATTCATGATGATTTGAGTATACCTGAAAATGTACTCACGTTGCGGGAAGGAGAGCGTTATCGCAGCAGACATGGAGATAACGCTCGGGCTATCAAGAGATAAGCTATCTCTGGCTCAATTTCTCCACAAGAAGATCCAAACACATTTCAACCCCCTGAGCATTTCTCTTGTTCTAAATCTAAACTTTTATTGTTGTTTTATTTAGTAGCAAAAAAACTTTGATGTGGGCTAAAAAGTTATTTGCAAGTAACTTATTAACGCAAACTCTTAGCAAAACGTAGAGCCGTACACTTCAGCCCAGTGAAACTGTCGACGGGCGATAGGGTTCACGGACCAATATCTGCTATACTTAGCGGGAAATTCGCTATGGGCCCATGACCCGCAGTGTTCCCTTTGCCCCATGTTACCTCTAGGTCTTTACTGTGTTCGTTCTCGAAATAGAGCGTTTCAAATAGTTTGTCTACGCCTTTTGCGATATTAATTTTTAAGCATTTATCTCTACCATTGTATTTTTGTTGACAGAAATGATTTTAATAATAAAATTAGCGTATTCAATGCCTACGAAGGTAACAAAAACAATACTCCCCCATTCTCCCCATTAAAATAAGTTATGGACGTACTGGATCACAGCTTGGTTGAAAACCAAGGCGCTTTCCTTGTTTTCAACTAATTTAACTGCAATAAATTCCTCTGCATTGAAACGTACAGAGCATTTTAGCTGTTTTCAAATCGCTTATCTGCATGAATTTTTGCTCGATAGAATTTTTACACTACTTAACTAAATTTATTCCGCTGGTATATTATCAAAAAATTTTCAATTTATTTTAACGCAAATTAAAATAATAAAAAGTACGATCAAACATTTCTTTCACATGAATTACACAAAATTGTATTAAAAAACATCTAAATCTTTAGATTTTATAAAACTGACATTTCAGCACAGTTTTTCTAGGTGTCCTGTTAAATGTGAATCAATATCAGCGAGGCATCTAATTTCTTCTTTTAGGGACTTAGATTTCTTACCTTAAAATAAGTTAAGAAATGCCAATTTCTTTATAACCGACCTGAACCTATTACTCCCCTCAAACTTTTCAGAGTTTACATTTATTCGTGAAGTCAAATTCGTGACCATTCATCATTGATTTCCAGGGTGTCGACATACAAGCATGTAAGAGTCTCTTAGAGCTGTTAACTCAATAATAATACGAGTCAGACCTGTTGAGTCACGGCAAAATATAATAGATGATGAGTCAAGACCGTTGACCCCGGCAGAACAAAGTACAGTGGCTGAGTTAGGGCGGATGAGTCCAGCAGAATAAAGTAGTGGCTGAGTTAGGGCGGATGAGTCCAGCAGAATAAAGTAGTGGCTGAGTCAGGACGGATGAGTCCAGCAGAATAAAGTAGTGTCTGAGTCAGGACGGATGAGTCCAGCAGAATAAAGTAGTGTCTGAGTCAGGACGGTTGAGCCCGGCAGAATGAAATAGTGGCTGAGTCCTTTGAAGTTAATTCATCATAAAGTCAAATGGTGTCCGAGTCAGAGCTCTTAATTCGCGAAATAAGATAATTATTTCTGAGTATAAGCTGTTGACTCACAAATGATTTATTCTGTCTGAGAACGAGCTGCTGACTCAATAAAAATACAGAAGTCATCATATCAGGGCTGTTAAGCCATATAAGATACTCATTCGGATATAGCATTAAAACAAATGGCCTTGATCACTTTTGTTCGGCACATAATGTAGAACATTTCTTTGTCGCACTTGTGGAAAGAGAAAGAAAAACTTAGAAGGTTCTTGCAATCTATTCAATTCACCTAAATTCATTATTTTGTTGTATTTCCTGACGATTTAATGTACTCACATAGGAGTGTGTGAAGAGACGAATCATATCAGGAGCCGGCGGCAGCGATAAGACCAAGATAAGGTGAAACTCCATCAAGTGATTAGAAGTTCAGTGAGACATTCTATCTTGTGGACATCCCATAAACACACGTGTCGCTCTCGAACGGCAGTGCAAAATGAATCGATTGATGTTACCAATATTTCTGGTGATCGCTTCTGGTGAGTTTCATGTAGAGGACATAAGGTAATATAATATAATACGATAATATGTCGAGCTCATAATTACCTATATTCATTAGGATTTTAGAGTCAATTAAGATTTTTTTTGCTTTACACTTCTAATACACACCGCATGAAAAAATCTACTAGATGGACTCCAATTTATTTTAGGGTGTCTGTTGATGATTATAGGCAATCTTTTCACTTGCAGTAAATTGTGTTAAAAACATGAATGAATCCATTGCTTTTCAATTTTTAAATGATTTTGAAAAGATAAATTTCATTGAAAAAGACATTACCTGAAGTTTGGTGTGACATTACCTGAAGATTCAAAGTTAACATCGGACAAATGACTGCCCCCATTGTCAATGCATTCAGTTAGTCGGTTTTTCAAGTTTCGTTCAACTCGCTGGAGCATATTGACGGCCTGGGCCAATACTTTCAAAAAAAGTTAAGAGATCGTAAATTCATCAGCCAATCATTGACGGCCTTTCAAGCAATATCCACCAATCATAGACAAGAAAATAGAACGTAAGTACTTACGTTCACTTAGCGAGTTTCGAAAGTATGGCCTGATCTTTGGCAGGCCCGATACCCCGATTTCGCTCCCATTAAATTTTTAATGGTGTTATCATAAATCAATTTTTTACAATAACTGTCCAAAGACCGTACCTCATTTGAAGAACAACATTGCCAAGCCAACGCCAAAATACCCGTCAAAATGCTTATTGCATATAGTATATTGCGTCAATATTGCAATGATATATAGATACTATTTATAGCTTTGAAATCAGAAGTGTCCGTGACTCACCCTATATTATCAATTATGCATGGCCGATTACTGAATAGCTAGCATTAGATAGTATAATAGAATTTACGATAAGAGCAGGTATGTTGATGTTCTTACTATTCCTGTTAGGAATTACAAGAACGTGTAATTTTATTTTCAAATTTGTAAAGTTCATTATGCATTCAAGCGTAAATATTGTGGCGAAGAACAATAACGAATTGTTAAGTCACAGTTGCCCCTCAATGAGAGGCGCAAATTTATCAAAATTTCTATGCTCCACTCCCATTAATCATTTTATCACTTTTCACTCTATTGAAAACCTAGAGGAAGCAACATTGAAGAGCCTTTATTGAGTGTGACATAAGAAGTCGAAAAAACAATCAATGATTGATTGTAACTTTCTGAATCGTGTCGCATTATGTCGTTATTGCTCACTATTTCGCTTTTTGGTGCAACTTGATCGTTCGCAATCTGACACTGAAATTATCCTGCAGAAAATTGGTTAGATATTATATTATTATTACATGATATTATATATAATTATATATTATATCATATATTATTGTTATTACATTATATAAGATGTTATATTTTCACGGGCAATAGAAATATAATATATCGTGTTCTTAATGGGCACAAGAAACATAATACTATTTCAAATATCATATCGTGGATCGGCATGATAATATTGAAATTTAATCTCTCTGAATGTGTCTATTATGAATTATTGTTGATGTCTAATTTCTCTTCTCTGCACAGCGACACTGGGCAGCTCCCACTCCGAGACCAGTCCATCCATCCTCGGTAAATGACTTATTGTTTTGTTATAGCGATGCACTGCAATCCTTATGTCACGATTATAGTGATGCACTGCAATCCTTATGTCAAATTCTCTAGTGCAAAAAAATTCTGACAGCAATAAGTAGAGACAACAGGCTCACGTTTCTCCTTTTTTTATTTATATTATATTTTGTTATCATCAAAGACGATGATCTTATGCCATTACTGTAGATATAACACATTTTTGTGGCAATTGAAATAGTGAAATTAGGTAATATTAAAGTTGCGTTCAAATTAAATAGCGTAATCATACATTAGCCTGAATGTTTACTGCTCTAAACTCCTGATATGGGTATACTTGTATATTATTGCGATTAATGACCAGAGAATTCATTGATTCGAGTTTCACAATAATTTGCATTCGAAAAGTTGTTAATTAATTAATATTATTCCCGTAAACTTGCATTTTCATCAAGCAACGGCCTCTGAAGAATTGTTCGGCCCTAAAAATATAAATCAGCAAATTTTTTAGTCATTAAATCTTCAATACGTGTTTTCAAAATTCGTTACATGTTTAAATCTTCCGCCATCTAATACTGATATCCGCTTGTATATTCATCCATCATGCTATGCACAGTTCTGTGTGCTGAGTATTATTCATTTCATAAAAATCATACGATAATCATATGCACGCACTTGAGCGGAAATCAAACTCAGGGGTGCAAGCAGAACCAATTATGTGTTTAGGAAATAACTCATTTTCGTCAGTATGATCAGTAATTTGAATGTGAAAAACATATCTCATCGTCAATGTTAATGATTGTTTCAACTGCAATGATTGTTTAACTGCAATATGTTGTTTTAAAGAAGACTAGTAGAATTTGTTCATAAAAGAGATTGATGTACCTGAGCAGAGGAGAGCGAGTTCGGGTACCGCGTGGCGGAACACCTCAAAGTCTTCTCCAAAGACACGCATCCACGGAACCCTGAACAACGCAACATCACCCAACAGTACATCATCGATAAGTTCCGCTATATAGGACTCGAAGTCGAGACGCAAACTTTCAACACCTCCATCAAGATGAGCTACAACGATGATCAATATGTGTGTTAAAACCCTGTAGCGAAAAAATTGGCGGGGATATTGAATAACATTCAATTAAGAATAAATTCAATTTGTCAAGGAATTCATAATTTAGGAACAATGAAATAAATTGTTAAAATTTACTGAAACAGTTTTGCTAGATTATTCATTATTGAGGCACATGAAACCCTATATTGAAACTGTAATCCATTTGACAACGTAACTTTGATGCTGTGCAGTTTATCGGCACGAACATCATCGCCACGCGCAAGGGCAGTTCGCCGCGCAAGAATGTGATGGTCATCGGCGCTCACTACGACTCAACTGGCGTCAACGAAAACCACCAGCCAGGTACTGCAGATTCAGAGAAGATTGACATGGTCTTAAGCACTGCAAGCAAACCATGGTTTTCTTTCAGTGCAATCGATATTAAGCACTGAAGGAAAATCAATATGGTTCGAACTTGAAGATTACTTTCCATGTAAAACTAACTCTAACAAAAATGACAGGTAGATCAGGAATCATTTACATTTTCGACATTTGTTACCGCGATTATAAAGGAATGACAAGGATAGTTTCGGCCATTACCCTAAATTTGCACAATGATTTGTACATACGCGATGTTTGGAGCTGAGCTATAATAAAATAAATAAGAATTACGTACAATCGATCTAGAAGATTGTGATGCATCATCATATTCGTGTCGTAACCAGAGCGTGCTAATGGCGTTGGGATAGCAACGCTGCTCGAGGTGGCTGCTGCCTACGAAGGCAGCCTTCGCTGGAACGGCTTCACCGCGAACTACACCACCATCTTCGTGGCCTTCGACCTCAACACCAAACAACAGGTAGACTTGCTTCGATATTTTTAGTGGTGTTAAAATATCTATCTTAATGAAGTAAAAGTAAAATTTTTTGAATGCCCACTCATATTTCACCTGAGTTTAAATGAACTTATGACAGTCTCGAAGACGCTGTCGACAGGTGAAATGTGCACAACAAGAAGGGAATGGGAATGTACAGTAAAATGAATCCAGTTTCATCTAGCGACACATCCAACAATTACCTTCTATGAGCCCGATTAACTAAACGATGGATATTTTTGTCTGAAAAATTATCTCTCATAGTGTAATGCTGTGAAGGATTTAAAATAATTCAATTTTAAGCATTCAAATGTAATTGCCGTAGAAACGAATCTGTCTAACCTCAGAGCATCCATCACTACAGGTTTTGTGCTAAGCGAATAACAAGAACTGTATTAGTAAAGCATTCAATTATTATTTTATTCAATTTAACGTTTTCAACTATATTGTTACTTTGTTGGATTCATTTTTCAAAGGTAGCTGCACAGTTGATGAATTATTGCAAGCTTCGTAAATTACTAATCATACATGGTGGCTTCTTCGTTGCTTCACGTGACATTTAGACTTAATCCATTTGCCTGTCCAGATGCCAGCTAGTCCTGGAATGCCAGGGTCATACTACTTTGTCCAAGATTGGTTGGAGCCAAAAATCAAGAGAGAGTTCCTTACCTTCGACGGTTCTTTCATCTTGGACTCGATTGCCACGTACAACACTGAAGTTAACTCGCAAAACCTGCCGGCCGACTTCATCAGGGTGAGGAAATGCACACCAATATCTTTGTTGAGAATATATCCATCGCTTACCCAAATTATATCGTTTCAGAGGTAAATCAATTAAATTTATTTGCCCATTATCAGAACAATGGTTCAAAAGCCTCCATGAGAAGTTTATCTATGACACTATCGATTTTTATGCTGCAGCCAATTATAAATTGATGAAACTCCTCATGCAAGTCTACTATTACTTCTTAGGGAAATTTTATTCTCGTTTTTTTTTTACTTTAATATCACTGAAAATGACCAGAGGAGTTATTTTAAACCATGAAGCTGTTAATTATTCTAGATTTACGTCCGTTATGCACGATTCGGGTGTAAGCATTTAAAAAATGGTAGCTACAATCTCGTGCTAATGAGGAATAAGGAACAAATAGTTGGTGTACAGACAAAATGCGATCATCACCGATATAACCACGTTCGAGACTACAAATAATCAATCCTTCTTTATATCTCAGGTTTTACCCGAAGCCTATCAAACCATTACAAGTTATGAAAACAAAGGCAACTTCCTAGCCGCCGTCTCCTCAGGAGATAAGTCTGCTGCTGTGTTGAAAGACTTTTCGGGTCACTACAACCACGTAAGTCTGAGTGTTCAATGAACCCTCGCGCCGAAGCATAACCTGATTACTTAATCTTTATTTATGAAACAATGCGCAATGCGTGAGCTTCCAGTGAAATTATTCTCTTAATTTTCGTACATTTTTCGCTTGCTTAAACTGCCAGAGTTTTCACGAATTTAAAATACTACATCCTTCAGCAACTAAACATATAATTTTTTTTGTGTGAAATTCATAACATCCCTAATGACACCTGCTTATTTCCTTAATAGGAATAATTACAAATTGCTTCTTCCCTGTATGTCTATTGCCACATTATTCCTTTCATCGAGACATTATATATACTTGATGTCAGGACAAGAAGGCTCGTCCGTTCCGTCTCCAAATGATGGTCGGAAACATCTCGGAAACAGGCTTCGGAGCGTACGAGACCCTTGAGATGTTCGACAAGCAGGCATCCTTCCACTTCTGGGCTGCCTCTCGGCCATCCGTGCTTCTCACTGACACAGGTTCTTATTGAAGCAATTTCAACTCATCTGCTTGTTTTTTGCATCAAAGAAACCCATCACTCCAATGTTCAAAGAGAATACTTTGATATTGCTTGGGCAAATTGCACAAGAATAGGGCTTTAACTATGATGGATTTGCACTATTAGTTGAATTTGACAAGTTATTCGCGTTTGAATGAACTTGTTCAGGTGGACATTTCGTTTAAATTTGCACGCACTGATAACTATCATTTTGAGAAATCGTTGACTTTACTTTTTACGTCACTTTAAAGTCCCTCACATTGTTGTGCCGTTAGGACTGACGTGAATTGTGCTATTATTACTAGCACAAATTATTGTGTTTTGTGTTGGCACTCGACAGCGGACAAGCGTTTGCTGCCTAAAGGAGAGCAGTCCCCTGTGGACGAAATGTACGTCTTCTGGAATCCACAACGTCTGGCATTCGTGCACAAGACGTACGTCGCTCTCTCCTACACGGTGCTCGACCGACAGACAACATACACCGGTAAGCAACCAAAACTAGAAGCTGAATGAACAACAATGCATACCGTTGACGTCGCTAGAAGAGAAACTCTTGGCGAAATTGTTTCAATGTAATTTTTCGCGCTCAAAATTTGCTGTGTCATTAAACTTCTCTTGTACAGATAGCCAAGCACTCGTTCGTTCATTTGTCGCAAAATGAAAACATGAATATCATGATAATCCTGCTCAAAATATTCTTGTGAACAAAGTAATCGGCCAGGACTGTCTTAAATGCCCAATTAAGCATAAAAAATTAATTAATTTATGGTTAAAATAGTAATTTAACGAATTTCAGTTTTAGAACATAAAGCTTCCCGCTGCAGAAGAGCGCTGCATTCTTCCCCAACCCAGACCGCTACAATTTCCATGTCTTAGGAACAATTTGAAATAAGTTAACGTGTTTCGAATTGCTGCACTAATGATCATGCACAACAATGACAATAATATCTTTAGCCATTCATATATTATTGTTTATGTGATCAACGTAATCTCACCGGATAATTGCAATCTCCTGATAATCACCATGATCACCCTCCCTCTTCAGGTCTTGCCAAATCGCACGCCCCCTCCCTCGAGACCACTTCATCCCTCATGGCTATGGTGGTCGTTGCCGTCATTGCACGAATCTTCAATTAGTAAATCAATGAGAGAATCACTGATGATGCGTTGCAAGGCTATGATTAGTGGAATTAAATTTAAACTACATAGATTGAGAACAATGTTACAAATGCTGCGAAGTATTGATAGGAAAGCTACAAGTGATTTTAAACGAGCCTTTGTTAGATATGTAGTGTGAAAATTAATTATATTCACTCATCGTAACGAGTTAGCTGAACCGGCCTTAACATAAACTTGTTTTGATCTTCTGGTTTTGATGCATCTGGTTATCTTGGTTCGTTTTTTTATCTTGTTTCTTTGGCTCTTGAGTTTGGTTAATAAAATAGATTATTTTTACGGTGGTATGATTCGACTAATTCCAAGCATCGCCCAATGATGTCCTGCTGTAGTCCAGTTGATGATTGCCTCTTCCTAGAGTTAAGATCTTCTTTGAGTACCTAAAAAAAATGCAACTTTTTCCCTCTGAGTAACGCCTAAAAAATTGAAAGTGCGATTTTTTATTGAGTATCATATATATAGAGGAATATTCATACAGTTTCCTTGGTAGTATTTTTAGGATAAATGACTTTTCATCGAGTTTCCGCATATAATTTATACCGCTCAAACTTAACTGAACTTAAGGACTGAGCCGTTGATTTCTCCCGCTGTATATTGTTTATATTAAATTGAATAAATTTAACTTCAGAACTGTGGTGTATTATTAATTTTTATCACATTTTACTGCCGACATAATCAATATACTAACTTCAAGCGTTTAGATAAATAATATAAAATTTAATGGGCCCATCCGTATTGAATTTTGCTCTCACAAACATAAGGGAAGCCTATAATCACCTTGAATATCAGTATACTCAACTGCACAGGAAAATTCACAATTTAATACGAGTATTATCGACGAATTTTGTTTGATGTAATACGGAGACTGTAGGATAGCTCATCAAAGCCTTTATTACCTACACTTGATGCATGCCATATCAGACCTGCTGAGGCACCGGATCTCGAGCAACACGGAAGTCAATAAGGGTACATTTACCCTGTGTAAATTTTATGAGTTCACCGTCAGAAATCACCAGTGCCTTGTTTTCATCCTCAAAGTGTAGTGTGCATTATCAAAACCATACGATCTCGCAAGGCTCTTATGAAGTGTTTGCTCCGTATTTAATTGCGGTAACGTGTGCGCCACGACACGAACGGTATGACGATCATAACAACACTAAACAGACGAGGAACTCTGAAATGACTCTTGGTCTTCTCGATTTACTTGAAGGGATCGCTGTCGCACCGCCTTATGTTGCGTTTTCGTGGCTCAGAAATAATGGCCCTTGGGGTACGGCAGCTCAGTCGCTGACGCTGATTTTCCAGATATTGAAGATACTGCGCTATTTTTTGTTATATAGTTGTGAAATAATAATTACATTTTATACCCAAAATCTAATGATCATTCCATAAAATATAAACATTAAATGACCTATTAATGTAGTTACCCAAAATGGAGTAGTTCAAAATCGCCGAGAAATATATATTTTTTGTCCACAAAATTAACGCTTTACAAGTTTTTAGTGGATTTCATTTTGTGTGGTTTTAATAATCAAATATATTTTTCATTTATAGGAGAGTAAATGCTCATTGGATTCAAAAGCCGCCTCTTTGGTTAAGTTTTTTTAATTATATCTACTTAGCATTATTCAGTAAAATTTTGTGACTTGATTTGCATTACACTTCATTCTCAAGCCCAGTTTATTTTGGGGAATATTTTTTATTATTCCAAGAAGAAAAAGGAACAAAATTCATCGAACATAACAAAAAAATTAGATCGGGACCCACTGAAGTGAGTGACAGAGAGCGCATTTTCTCACGTCCGTCCGTCCGGACGGACGGACATGACGAGCACAATAGTGCCTTTTTTCCATGAATGAGAAAAAGCGCTAAAAAAAAGGAACAAAATTCATTTATTCGCGACGCAGTCACTTTAATTTATACTATTTTTATTTTGTACTAATTCAACGCATGATTAAAAAATTAGTTCCCGCTTGTATCTTCGAAGTTAAAATAAAGAAATTTCTTTATCATCTACATTCATCAGCTGCATCATCAACATCTAGAGAATCACAAACTGGAAAAGCATTATCTTCATGAATAGTACATTGAAATAATCTTTCTCTTGATCAAATCTCCGGAATCATGGCAGATTTCCTAAAATTTATTGAAAATTTCGTGTTTTTCAAGAGTTGTTTCCTATGTATAGTTGCAATCAGAGTCATATTGGTATTTCACTTAATAATATTAGTGTTCTGAAATCATTCAATTCAAATTTCAGAAGCAATTTATTTATTATCAACGGAAAATGGATCGTTATTCGAGCGATGTCTGAAAAATAAAAATTTTCTGGCGCCTGTCAAAAAAAGTTATGAGCTAAGAACTTTCAACGATAACATTTTATACGTGATTCAACTTTAATTAGCTAGCCTAATCTGTATGATTATTGATTTATTTTTCATTCCAAAGTTGAGATAATTAAAAAATTCAAGATAATGATGAATTATAATATAGTTACTACGTTGCTTGTGACTGAGCAGTGGAATCACAATTAAGCTAGCCTTATTTCTTCTTCTTCCTTTTTTCGCATTTCTTAAGCCTTATTTCTTGCAGCAGCGGCATAAAATAACGCGATCCTTAGTGACGTTTCCCGTCACCGCCTCATCATGGTAATTCCAATTAATATCGACTATGAAGCACAGATCGGTGAGAAGTCGTCTGCATTCAAAGATGCCATTTTATGGCGCGAAAAACCATCAAAAATCTAATTCTTTGGGAATAACATAAGAGACAGTGTTTTTAACCTCTCGTATATCAGGCTACATAAATCCGATGAAAATATTTTCAATGGGAAGTCGGCTCCTCTTCGAAAAAAACAGTGTTTTATATCACAGCTTTTCTTTAGTTTCCTTATGCATTTGTGTTCCTCGATCGTATGTTTGATAGAATATACACTTGCAAATATTGACTATTGTCCCATCCCATCCAAAAAAGTTTACATTACACCGACTGTTTCCTGTTAAATTAACGGTAGCTTAACATTTGCATCGGATTCTCCTACATTCATTAGTAGAACGAAAAACTAAGCAACATGGCACAGTAAATGGTGCTTAGCACCGGGGCGAGATAGCCTCTGGTGCTGCAGCACTGCAGGCGACTCCCAGTGATGTTCGCCATAGCACCCACCCGCATCCTCAGTGCAACGAGTGTCGTGTCTCAGCTAGGGAAGAATTCGGTCAATGCGACAGATTCTCAATAAATTCAATACTTATGAAGTGCTTACGTTGTTGGAACTTGAAAGGTTGAAGTGCTTTCGATTTGGCGTTATGACAGTGACGTCATCCAACGACATGAAAATATCTATGCGTTTTACAGACGTGATGCGTCGTCTGATGCGTTAAAGCTCCTACGTATTTGCTTCTACAGACAATTGCTGGTATAATAATTTGGCAAATATCAATGTACCGAAAATTCAATCGGATTTGAATGTTTTATCCGTCATTATACGGTGCTGATAACCCTTACTTTAAATAAAGTTTCGAACAAGGCAGTTATTAAGTAAATTACTTGCAGCTTCAGAGCAGCGGTCGTGTGTGTAAGTCATGTTACTCAACGGCAAAGCTACGTTCGCGGGGTCATTGCTGCTCTGCTTTGTCCAGTTTATCAACATCTACGCTGCACCGAACCAAATAACAACTGATGTAAGTTTAAATTACGTTTTCTATTTTTTACAAAGCTTGATTCTATATAAGACTATTTTAAATAGCCCATTCTTAACTATGTATAATCAAAGGAAATTTATTGCGAGAGTACTTTTCACTGCTGGTAATATAATGTATATTAAAACGTACCGTAAAACGGGTTGACTTGGACCATTAATGGAGTGACTTGGAAAGTTTCGACTTTAAGAAAAGAAAACCCAAAAACTCAAAAGGTTCTTGCCTTAGAAAGAGTGTGGTGATTGCTCTTGAAGTACCATGAAACAACTTACAAATACAAAAGGATATATTTTATATCTCTACTATGAATTCGTATCACAAAAACTACCAGCAGCTAAAAATGATCTAAATCACCGCGTTTTACGTACTCGTGTAACAAAAATATTCCAGTCGAATTCATGTTCCATGTAGCTCATTGTGAGGTCTCTGCTCAAGTTATTAAATTTTGGGGTACTGAGGCAACTGAATGAAGTGCTGAAAAAATTTTGTTGAATAAAATGTTGAATAAAATAATTTATTTATTATTAATATTAATTTTTTTATTATTTTAATATTAATGTATTAATTATTAATATTACTTTATTTATTATTATTATTAATTTGTTGTTATCATTAATTTATTAATTGTTAATAATTTATTTGTTCAATTGCAATATTGAATAAAATAATTGCGATGGCTGCTGATGGCAGAGCTCGAACGCTGTCGAGGAGCTGCCGTGCTCGAGCTCAGGGGTGTGTCTGACGGCGGAGTGCGTGCGCTCGGCCGCCTACATCCTCGACAGCGTCGACCCAACACAGGACCCTTGCCATGACTTCTACAGGTGGGGGAGGTCATACGGTTTAGTTCAGTGAAAAACGTTAAATAATCTATAAGCAGAAAAGAGAAACGTAGGTTTATGTCTGTGAAACGAGAAAATGTCTCCAATAAAAAGTGAATTCTATGTAAAAATTAATGGATATTTAATGATGAAAATGTTATGATTTATATTCAAAGGAAAGTTATTGCGAGAGTACTTTTCACTGCTGTAATATTGAAAAACGTACCTTAAAAAGGGTTACTTGGACCATTGAAGGGATGACTTGGACAGTTTTGACTTTGAGAAAAGGGGCCAAAACAAAGGTCGATATTGAGTAGCTAAATTAGGGAAATCGAAAAATCGCCAATTTATATGTGTTAAATTCTAGATTAACCACCATTTTTCGAATAATGGAAACAAAAAATAACATTGGACGGATGGTTGAGAGAGATGAAAACATAAGACGACTGATATAGATGCTATTGTATATGGCCATAACTTGACATCGTTTTAAGCCAACGAAAATAAATTGATATTTGATTTATAAAATATGCACATAATTAATCTGCCAAAAATTTTGATTTTGAATGGAAAAAAAAATCTCTGGAATATTTATGCAAGGAATGTTTAGGAAAACCAGATGAGAGCCTTTAGCTTTAGAAGTACGGCGATCTTAAATTTTCGAATGTTTTAGTAGACTGTGAGGAAGCAATCTTTCAGATCACAATCTCCGGGAATTGGAGATTGTGATCCAAAAAATGAATTATACTTAAGACGTACCATAAATATATAGAAAATTAGGAAGAAAAAAATCGTGAGTGACCGAAAGCCGCTATTTAGCAGCACAATAATGAAGGAATTATCATTCCTTCATTCCATGTTATTTATTATTATTATTGGAATTATTATTCCATATTATTGATTCCTTCTTATTGAGAATTATTATTTCAACGCAACTCAATTATTAGAAGGAATAAATTATTATTAACGCAGGTATGCGTGTGGAGGTTGGGTAGCCAAGAACGAGCACAGGACGGGCGCCAACCAACTCTACTACGCCGCAAACGTCAACCAAATTCCTGACTTGGTTAACCAAGAAATCAAAGGTGAATGAACTTCACATCTTCGAAGTTTATGAAAGAAACTGAAATTTTCAAAATTATCTGATCCTATTTCTGTCCAGTTTATCAAACCTCATTGACCCACTTGAAAGCACGACATAATACCAATGCCCGGAGAATTTGAATAAAATGAAATAACTGCAGAAAATTTGACAAAATACTGAAAATCATTTTGTATTCAATTCCTTATTTTTGTAAATCACTTCTGTACATGATTCTTGTAAACCATATTTTTGCACACTTAGAAGTAAAACAGTAATATTATATAAAACGCCGCAAACATAATAATGTAATAGAATCGACGGCTTTTCTACGTATTATTAGTAATTCTGCCTTGCCTGCCATAGAATGTCTCTGAAAATTCTTCATATAACCTCCTATTCATAAATGTGATTCGTGAATAATGATGATGAACCTGATGTTTTTGAAGTTAACTGAAGAGGTATTCTTTTCTATTGAAGGTTAGTGGTTTAAATGCTTATAAATAAATATAATTAATTACTTTTATAATAATGAACTTTTTATGAAAATTATCAGGTAGAAAGCTATTTAGTGCATACCCTAATGAAGGCTAATTTTTTACAAATTCCGCAAGCTGCACTTCCACTAATTACGAGTGTTGGTCATTAATACTAATGCGACCAAATCTAAAATTTTAATTTGTTCTCAAACTTTGGCTGTGGTAGTTTTATTGCAGAGGAAGAGAAAAGTGTCGCAAGCCTTCTACGTCAGCAGCTCGTATCGACAACTTTTTGACTTCTATGACTCTTGCATGAACACAGAAGCCATAGAACAAAATGGGTCAGCAAAAGGTTCGTGAACATGTGAAGAGGTATTTCCACTTGCATGTGTAGATCTATGTTCAGTATATAATGCATGTGTACAGTATATAAGGGCAAAATATTTATTTAACAGTCTGTTATTTCACGATATATAGCAGTTTTGACTTAGTTTAATTTAAACCCGGTTGTTATGATATTTGATATTTTTGTAGCTCTAGAGATTCGGGTGCACTACGGTACACACAACGAAAATTATGGCGGACATGAGAAATCAGAACAATGCGACAAGCTTATTTTCACGGTTTGGTCGTGTTTGCTTTGGATTTCCAAAGTCAGTTAATAGAAATTTATTCCAATCTTAAATTTCATTTCTAGTTGATAGGAAACTGTGCTAATGTGCGTCGAAAGGTGAAACTCATTTTTCATTAGATGCAATTTCTACTATAATTTTAACACGATTGCATAATTTTCAGCTTTTGAATGGCTGAAGAAACTGAAAGAATTTCAAGTTGGCCGAGCTTTCAATGCAGATAAGTGGAACTTAACTGCAGCTTTGATTTCGCTGATGAGGGTAAACAGCGCTCCCCTCTTCGACATCTCCCTCGACGTGGACCCCTCAAACCCCAAGCACTGGGCCGTTGTTATCTCGGTGCCGCGGCAGTACGGTCTCGAAGCTTCTCTCATGCATCGCTTACGCCAACACGTTATCCCGGCGTCCTTTACAAGACGACTCAAGAAGGTAACTTATTTATTTTATTTATTTTTAATGTGAAATACGTCTTGACATTAATGGTGATGCAATCGAATGTTGTAATTAAAAGTGGCAATTGAGGGTGTAGGCTTATGAGGTGATTTATTTTTTGAAATTGATGACGATGTCATATTGTACTATGCCGTAGAAGGTGATATAGAAATTAACCTTTGGGGTGAGTTTTACTTTGCTTTGTTAATTTGGGAACATATTGACGGATAAATCGATTGTATCGGATGACGTTCGCAACCCATAATATATCGATCTGAGAATTTATATTTGAATTATTCCTAAATAAAAGAGTGATTTCCATGCCATCTAGAATGTTATAAATATTGTCGTTTGTCGGAAAACTTTTAAATGAAAATCTGATTCATATAATGACGCGATTTTTTGCGATATGTAATTTGCGAATTATTCGTAATATTCTCCTCAAAATTAACGATAACTATTACTCGAGAAATACTACGTTAACTACACGTCTCAGACACAGGTACTTACTGCATATATATATAGTTGCATTAAAGTAAGGCAATATTCTGTTTGCGTATGCTAAGATAAAAAATACAAATGAACTTATTTCTGAAAGAGTGATACGACTCTACAGGCAATGATCAGAATGATACTCGACCGCACGAGGCCAGCAAACGAAAACAAAGTTCCAGGATCAATTGATAAAAAGTCGGAAGATGAAGAGGCAGCTTATCCCTCTGATGACTCTCATGAAAGTGGTGAAGCTGTGGACCGATTTACATCGGAAAAGAATTACGAAAAAACTCCTGCAATGGTGGAAAGCGTTTCGACTTCGCCATCTCTGAGTGGGGAAACAACTTCACAGGATCTTGAGGAGATGGACCCAAAACAATCTTCTTCTGAACAAGATGAAGGAGAGGAAGAGTCAAACGCTGTTTTATCTCAAATGGAAAATGAAGCACGTTAGTACACCCTGAAATGTGTATAATAATTATTTCCATAAATGGTTCATATGAATGATCAATGATCTCCATGTTCAAGACATAAACTAAAATTCAAGGGATTACCCGACTCCGAGAAGGAATTGCTTAATTTTTAACCTGGGCTCTTTTAGAGCGTAAAGTGTCATACTGTTTTTTATTATAGATTTAAAAAAATTTCCTTCTGCTAATCATTGTCGATATGAGTGGAAAATTCCATCTATTCAAAAAATAATTTTGCAGTAACATTAACTCATGGGTCTATTGTGTATCAGACACACTCAACTTACCTACTGAAAACGCGCTCCGCTCAATACGTTCAAGCAATCACCTTTCATAGCATCCGTTATAAATATCAATCAAATCCTAAGGCCATTGCAAGACCTGCCACGTGCCTTCAATGTTTATGATTTACTTGTACCATATTCATTGGAACTTCAATTATTATCCATAGCTATCAGACGAAAATCTTTTCCAGATGAAAATCTGACCGCGGCAGTCGCAGAATCCTTAGCCAACTATTTTTTGCTGAACTTGAACGACTCCCTGCCTGACTGGCTCCAGGATCTGGTGGATCAGCCCATTCCCCGCTCCGACATGTACAAAATACTCACGGTAAGCAAAATGCTAAGGATTACTTAATTTCTTGAAGTATATATTCATTGGAGTTAAACATAAAAATTGCTTGAGATTGATAGATTTGAGTTATACAGGCGACTTTATAATTTAAAACAGATCTAAAAATATTAGGTACATTGCTGTTAAATTTAGGTCAATTATCACTGATATAATTTATCTTATTATTAAATATTGCTTCAAAGTTTTATCTTGAAATATCCCTATATATGAGTAAACTATAACATAGTACTTATATTTATTATACATGAAATTGATCTCATTTCGGGAAACTCTTAAAGCGTAAATAAAAAATTGCCTATATATCTATCTTAGATAACAATATAATGAATTTACAATTTGTCGTCAAAGAGGGGACCGTAAATAATATACATTTTTAACGCATTTTCTCATTTATGGAAAAAAAGCTATTGTGTTCGTCATGTCCGTCCGTCCGTCAATCCGTCTGTCCGTCAATCCGTCTGTCCGTCTATCTGTCTGTCCGTCCGTGACTAAACGTTTTCGTCGACGAGAAAATGCGCTCTCTGTCACTCACTGCAGTGAGTACTGAGTTATATTTTTTATCTCACAGGAAGAAGTCGCTACAGAGCGGAAACTGGAGCTGCTGTCCAACTTAGGCGACTCCCTGACAGAGTGGGAGCAGGAGGAGGTCTTCACGGCTGCCTGCCCCGAGGCGGGCGCCGGCATGGACGAGGCGATGCAGCTCCTCGACAGGAGCTTCATCGGACCCGTAGAAAAAGTCACAATCTCGAATTAGATAATAGCAATAATTATTAAAGTTTTAACTTTCCTGAGAATCCATTTATCTTTATCTGTTATTTTTGCCAATAACGTGCTGGAAGCGGTCATGTGTTATTAGTTGAATCAGCTACACATTCGAATTTTACAGTTTTTCTAACATATGTATTTGAATGATGAATAAAGGTAATTAATTTTTCAATTCTTTTAATATTAGATATACTGACGTCCGACAGATCGTGCCTAGCAAGCGAGAGGTTCTTGTGGCCGAGCAAGCTGACTCCATCTACAACGCCTACACGCTGCACACGCTGCATTAATAATAATAATAATAATAATAATAATAATAATAATAATAATAATAATAATAATAATAATAATAATAATAATAATAATAGCGATTTCGGCGTTTATTACGCCGTAGTCATGAAAACACTAATTAATGTTGTATTATAATTTTGTCACCTCAATAATGTTCATCTTAATTTAGTAGAGTATACCTTCCTTTTAACTAAATGTTTTTCATTGGAATGTATATTGTGTGGCTAAATTAGCCCAATTTTGATTTAATTTAGTTCATCATTTTTCTTCCCAGTATTTCTCACAAAATCAACAATCCAAAAATACCACACTTGACTGGAGTTAGAAGTAAAAATTATCTAATTTAAAATAATTAAATAAAGATTGCGATTGAATTCAACTTAAAGGTAATAGTATTTTAATTTCCAACGCAGATTCAGTGGCACTACCTCATCACATCGCTACTCGGAGACAACTTTCAACCCAACAACACAATTTATGTGTACTTCCCGGAACATCTATCAAATCTTAGTGACCTGCTACAAACCACTGAACCCTGGTCAGTTCAATCGTCGACTGGTATATAAAAATGTCTAGTTTATAAAATTTTTTCATTATTATGCATATTACATTTATATATTATACATTTTTTTCATTCAATTTTCATTTCATCATATTTAAATCGCTTATGAAGCGTCCAAACCAACGATATAAAAGTCATTGATTACAAAAAGATGATCGTGATTATTTTAGCAATAAATCTATTTTTAAAAATAAATTGGAAATTAATCCATGGATATTTATATAAGTGACCAACTCGCAAATTTTATTGAATCAAAAGGCTCCAGCACTGGGGCCTGATCGGCTTCTACATCAACGACATGATCCATGAGCTTATCTCAGTGGAGGACCGCGAGAACAGGGAGAAGAAGTGTATCGAGGTCGGCAAGACTTTTCATAACAATTAATCTAAAAATTTTAAATTCTTAGAAGTTTAATTGTATAAAAGATAATGTCTTTGAGGTGCATGATGTCTATAACATTGCTCTACATTCGATCACTTTAAAGTGAATTTCAAAACGACCCTAACTCCCTTAGCGCTTTTGTTGCTATTTTGCACGGCTGGGCATAATAACAAATTTGGTCTATGCTTACCGGTCAGTTATAAATTTTCTGTAATTCGTAGAATTGAATATTTAATTTACCACGTAGCTCACTGTTGGAATCATTGATTTTAATATACTAACATCCTTATGTTTATTTTTCTTATAATGATTAGCCCACATTACTAGCAATGACATAAATTTATTGGTAAATCTAAATTTTTAGTACGGATTATGATTTTTCCGTAATTAATAAAAAATAATTCTGCATTGCTCATCTGCATTGGAAAATTGTTTATTCCGAATGAACAGTTAAATCTCCCCTTTCCGCTTCAAGACAACTGCAAGTTCTCGTATAATCTTGACAGTATCTAAGGAAGATAAATATGCTAGATTACGAATTATGAAATAGAATTGACTCTGTTATGTTTGGACCAGGTGACGAAAACTGTGTTGGGAGAAGCTGTTACGCATTTATACCTCCAACACGTCGGCCAAGAAAGAATTCGTTATATCAAGCAACAGGTGACCGTGATTCGTTTGTGAGAGTCAAACAGACTAAATGAGATTTGAAAAATGGCCTGAAATATACTTTTCTGAATTTTAAACCATTCTTCCGATGTTTAAGGGGAGCGTCTAGGGTAAAATTTATCTCGGCTATTTACGGATAGATCATTCTGAAACTTGGTACACATATGTAAAACAGAAATCTAAGACTTTTTTGTTCGTGTAAATTTTCCGAAAAAAATGAAAGAAAACGTGAAATTCGTAGAAAACGGCCAAAAAGGGGGTACTGTAGAAATCTATCTCCTCCTAGGATTTTCAAGCTACAACATCGAGACACATATCATTCGATGCGTAAAGAATATATCTAAAAACGTAACTACCACTTATTTGAATTTCTCATTTTTGTGGGTGTGGGAGCATTTTTCCCAAAAATTTCGAAAATTTTTCGATTTTCCCTATTTCCCTTTTTCAAAATATTTTCAAAACTATAACGAACTTGAAAAAAGCCCTAGTTACGTTTGTAGATCTTTTATTTGCGAATCGAATGGTATACCTCTCATCGCTGTAACTTCAAAACTCTAGGAGATAGGTTTGCAGTGACAATAGGTGTGAATGTTCAGGAGAGCTCGACAAGTCCCGCACGCATCGGAATAGGCACTCAATGTAGCAAGGATACAAAACTAAACGTTACTGCAGCTTGATTCCAGTCAAGGATGGTGGGAGCGACGACACGCCATCCCTCCCGTACAACTGCAGGCGGGTTACTGAAGCACATCGTTTGTGGACTAGCTATTTATGCATGCTACCGGGAATTATCGCCCACCTAAAATGTGTAAGAACTCCCCCGACCCCCCTCCTTTCGCAAGCTGTCGTGAACGCATAAATCAACGTACAGAGATTATTTTGGTACCGTTGGATAGAGCAGAATGTCAGCTTTAAGATGAGACTAAAAACCGGAAAAGCCAAAATTCAAAATTTTACCCCAGACGTTCCCCTTAAAATATTATATGAATTGATATAGTTCAGGTAAAAGTACTAAAGGGTGTACGGCGTTCGGATTGTCTTAATTATTATCCCTGGTTATGTAATTATTATCCCAGGTCATGTATTTTGCCTGACAGTTCGAAGAAATATTAGCGTGGGTGAAGCCGACGCTTGCTGAGTCATTAAGGGCCGCTGCGTGGCTGTCAGACGCAGAGCGGGCGGCCGCCCTCAGGAAATTGGCGAGCGTTGGTAGCGTTGCTGGCGCTTCTGACTTCCACTGGGACACAACGCACGCTGAGAGCCTCATGCGCAATGTGAGAGTTACTGTTATGAGAGCTTATTAATTGTAGAATGGCTGTCATGAGAGCTTATTAATTGTAGAATTGCTGTCATGTCAGAGGTGGGCAGTAGCGCGCTACATTTTCAGTAGCAGTAGCGGTAGCGGCGCTACATTTAAGAAATTGTAGCGGTAGCGGTAGCGCCCGCTACATTTAGAGCATCTAGCGGGAGCGGTAGCGGCCACTACATTTCAAAGTATGCGCTGCCCAGCTCTGCTTATTAGAAGGCCTGATCGGTTGAATAATAAGTATTAATGGGTAAACACATAACAGATATTTTGCTTGATTTTATTGGTTACGTGTACAGTCACTTGTATTTCGGGGCTAGACAAAAAAATCTCAGGTAAGGAGCTCTAAAAATTGAGCCAAGTTTGAAAATGTCGCTAGTGATGTTTTCTGTCTTGTACACTAAAAAAATTAAGCAAAGATACTTATTCTGAGCCATTTACAATAATATTTCTTCTGCGAAAAAGTGAGAAATCATATTCTTTTTTGAGCCCATGTTAATTCACATGCTTAATCACTATCACGTCTCCAATGATGTATTGATGTACCCTGCAACGTACTTTTTATTTGCCAGCTGACCATTCAGAAGAATGATTTCTTCTCGAACGCCATGGAGCTTTATTCGGCTTTCCGGAAGCTGCTTTTCGGCCTCTACGCAAAGCCCGTGGACCACCAAAATTTCATGTGCGTATTTTCATTATTTTCATGTCCATAATTAGAAGTTGTATGAGTGATTGCAGGTATATATTTTGCTTTACTGTCGCTTCAAATGACTGTAATAGTTATTTGACTGTTAGTAATATTCAATTTTTACAATGATTTAATGTAATACTTATGTACTAAAAGTATTCAAACAATTTATAAAATATTGTTGCTTTTATGATTCCCATCAGTTGGGAGTTGACGACTCAGCCGTTCGTGGTGAACGCTTTCTTCGTGCAGACTTCCAACCTCATGGGTAGGAAACCTTAAAATAAATCCCATGCTATATAACAGCTCAACATTTATGTCTTACTTACCTCATTGAAAAAAAGCTGAAGTCGGTCAAATTCTTTGACGTTCGAAATTAATTCACTAGTAATTGCTAATATCATGCATAAAAGCTTGAAACTGAAACCGCCTCATGATCATTTCCGACCAAGTCTGTATTTTTTTTTATCTAGTTAAATTGTGTCGGAAATATCGGCATAGAGATCAATGTTTAATAAAAAGAAAGAAAGAAATGTTTAATAAAAAGAAAGAAAAGAAATAAAGAAGCTAGCACTTGAATTTTCCAGAACGTTTCTAGAATTCCAAACGTTATCATGTTAAAAGTAAATTAAACGACATGCCTCCTTCCTATATTCAATGATATTTCTAGAGACATTCATTGAAGCAAAGATGAAAATGTATTCGTTGGGCCAGTATAAAAATATTTTATTTATAGTTTTATTATGAATCATTAGGAGTTAAACCCATATTAATCCACTTGAATACCGCAGTTTTCCCGGAAGCGTTTTTCCGGACACCATACTTCCACACCGCAGCCCCCGACGTACTGAACTTTGCCACAGTCGCCACGGCCATCAGTCATGAACTCTTCCACGCGTTCGAACTTTCGGGTACCAGACCTCAAAATTATTCTCAAATAATAGAGTTGCTTATGATTAAGTTTTGGTCGTGATGAGTATTAGACTGATGGATAAAGCAATGAAAAATGTAGCATTAATTTGCGAATGAGATAATGAAATTATTTAGTTTTAGCAATAATTTTTTGCGAAATTGTCTGCTTTACGAATTTCGATATGCAGAACAATAATAATAACATTCAATTCAAAGGTAAATCAACACTCATGGCTTGTTTTTAAAACAAAATTTTTCAATATTTCACTTGCTGATGGAATCTGAAAAAGTTCATAGTTTAAAGTAAAGTAATCTCTGTTACAAATAAATTTTGCGATAATCAACAACGAAAACCACAGGATTGAACATGAATTTAGCCAGCATTTCTCATAATTATATTATGCTTGGCCAAACAATCATTGTGAACTGCAGGATTGAACTTCAACCATGAGGGTGTGAAAGACCAGACAAATAAATTATCAGGCCTAGAGGCTCGCCTGAGGAACGTAAGCGCCTGCTACCACAGCAGCCTTGTCGACAGTTTCGAGGAGGTCGTCAGGATGCAGCTCAACAACGTCCAGCTTTCCGTGAGAAATATCTAAGTGTCGTTAGAGATAGTTTGTTTGTTTTGGGGTATTTTTTATTTGTGTTTTCACTTTTATAAAAACCCTCTTCAAAAGTTTATCAGTTATTTGAGATCTAAAATAATTTCATTAAAAACCAGTGCTAAGTAATGCTGAAACTTGAAATACTCGTATGGCGTTATATAAAGACAACAAATTTTGTTCGGATTGTTTTCGGTACATTATAGAGGTCCATTTCAAACCACTCTATAGTTCTAAATTTGATTTCTAAAAATACTTTCCTCAATGTTGAAACTCAGGTCTACAACAATCATACACTGATATTTTTCTCAAATTCAAGTACCACCCTCGGTTGTGCTCGCTATCATTCCCAAGAAAGCTTTCGAGCTGATATGTACCGTAAGTATATTACTCAGTTGAAAATTGTAAGAATTATAATTTTCCCTATTGCAGATTGATAACGTAACTGTCAACGAAAATCTAGCCGATATTTTTAGCATTCGCAACTCCCTTTGGTCGTACGAAAAACTGAGAGTTCACAAACGTCAGAAGCAAAATGCGCTCTTCAGTCTTCCGTCTCTTAACATCACAGACGACCAACTTTTCTTCCTATCAGCAGCACAGGTAACAAAAGAAACTGAAAAGTGAATTCTACAAATCAAAGAAAGTTTAATTTTCTTTTTAACATGGACTATCTTACCCATTTTAATGGAAACCATGATTTTTGTCGGAATATCTTCTTTGATCTTGAATTTTGTTGATTGATTAAAGAATTTTTAACAAATTTCATGTACTGCTTCTCATTTTTATGTTTAGCATGACTTTATATATCAAGAATTTTTGGCTCACTAGATTCCAGGCAAGATTTGATTAATAATCAATCAAAGTACTCGTGAAATAAACCGTTTTCAGAAGGTTACCAAAGAGGTTAAAATGCTACGTACATTTCCACAAAGCGCATTTAATAAGATCAGAATTTTGGCTAGCAAGTAATGTACTACAAGCACTCGATAATTTGGATAATTTGTACAGTCACGCTTAGTAATGAGTTCGGAATTCTGGCTAGCAACTAAAGTACCATAATTACCGGATATTTTGCATAGGCACTATTAATTATGAAATTTATTCTAAGCCGTACTGTTCCGTGTTGCCGCCACTGGCCAAAATCATCCTCATGGAACTTGACGAGCATCTACCGAACGACATCAGGTAAGTCACTGCAGTCCCTACAAAGCATCTCTAACAAAATATGCAAAATTAAGAAAAATCGTCAAAAATACGTTTTTTATTAATAGCTTCCAGACTTGACTTCCGAACAAACTTCTTACTATACATGCCGACTTTAATTAAAAATTTGCAAATAACTTACTTCATCGCTTAGAATTCCAGTTATAAAAAAAACTATTAAAATGGTTTTCGTTTCGTGCCTCAATTGTTTTCACTTAATTAACATTCCGCTTCAGAATCAACGCGATGATGAGGAACACGCCGGAGTTTCACGCGGCATTCAACTGCCCTCCCTCGGCCAGAATGGCAGCCCAGGCTACTTGTGACATCTTTACTAAAAGTACATTGTCTTAATTATAGGTGCCTGATCCAGCTATATTTTTTACAAAAAACGTGAATAAATTTCCTGTGCGTTTGATGTGTACATATAACATATATTAGAATAAATACAATTGAGCCACTACTTAACATCACTATGCAAATCAGGTATTAAAGGTAGCAGGATTTCCCTTCTGCATTAGACTACAACAGCAGCACTCTGTCTACCATAACTTATTCGCTACTTATTATTAAGATTGTTGATTTTTTAGTTGTTATGCTGTAGCCGACCCATATAAGTTATTGGACGTTATGAAAAATAATAATGTATTGAAGGTTTTTAAATAACTATAATAAGTTAACAAAGTTCGTTTCGTTTCCAAGTTTTCGTAATTAACATTAATTTACTACAATAGATACACGCTATTTGTTTTGAAAAGGGAGATTCATCGCCGCTCACCGGAAATGAAAAGAGACAGCAGATGCTTGTCGGTGCTTTCATAACGAGTTGGACGGTATGATACCAAGGCATCTTTTGGTTGCCTAGCGTGTCGTGATCTAGATCTGTAGTTATTCGATGGCACTACTTTTACGGGCTTTGGCTGGTAGTAAACGGACGGTTTACCACGATTGATTTTCCGCCCTGTAGCCCTAAAACGGACACGACGAATTTTTTTAGATATGGTTTCCTCACTATCATTCTTCTTTGGCGTGCCATATGTTTGACTTGGAGGAGCATAGAGAGGTCCATAACGAACGTCAGAATCACTGCTACTTTCAGGAGCAGGAGGTGCACTGTACGATGATCTAATCTCTTCGTCAGAATTGTCTGCAGGAGCAAGGTTGTTTGTTGCTGCCGGTGCGTACAAAGGCTCGTACTCAGAAGAAGTGGGAGCTGGAGGAACACTGTATGATGAGCGCACTCCCTCTTCCTCAGATTTTTCTGAAGGTGACGTGTAACTTGTAGCTGGTGGGGCGTACAACGGTTCGTATTCAGATGATTCAGGAGCAGGAGGAACGCTGTATGATGAGCGAACACCTCCTTCTCCAGATTTATCTGAAGGTGACGTGTAACCTGTAGCTGGCGGGGCGTACAACGGTTCGTATTCAGATGATTCAGGAGCAGGAGGAACACTGTATGACGAGCGCACGCCTCCTTTTCCAGATTTATCTGAAGGTGACGTATAACCTCTGGCAGGTGGGGCGTACAACGGTTCGTATTCAGATGATTCAGGAGCAGGAGGAACACTGTATGACGAGCGCACACCTCCTTCTCCAGAATTATCTGAAGGTGACGTATAACCTCTGGCAGGTGGAGCGTACAACGGTTCGTATTCAGATGATTCAGGAGCAGGAGGTACACTGTACGATGATTTTAAGGAGCGAGAATCACTTGCTTGTGATTTTGAGTCAGTGCCATCCTCAGCAAATGGAACTCCGTAGGTGAGGCTAGGAGTTATTTGTTCAGGAACAGTCTCCCTCTCATCTTCTTGAGCTTCTGCAGCATTAACTTCGGGGGCACCGTAAGTTCTTTGTGGGATAATCAATGTCGATGAACTCTCTCTGGAATTTTCTTCTGTTTCATCCTGATTATCTTTATCTTCTGTTTCAGTTTCAGGAACGCCGTATGTTCGTCTAGGGGGTGAATACGATTGCTCATTTCGTGACCTTTCCTCGGAATTTTTCTCACTCGGAGCTTCATACACTAGCTCAGGTGGCTCAGGGTCGTTTTGTGCGGGGACACCATAACTTTCAGAGGGGACTTCTTTTTCTTCGATCTCACTACTAGAAACATCTTCGGCGCTTAGAATTGGAACACCGTAGGTCACACTTGGAGTCAAATATATGGGACTTGAGCTTCTTACACCTTCATCTTCACTTGGTACACCGTAATTGGTAGAAACTTGTTCGATGGTATCTTCGTTGCTATCGTCCTGTGTTTCTTCCCGAAGTAAGTTAGGAGCTCCGTACGACCTACTTGGAGGAGAGTAAAGAGGTTTACTAGATCTGACATCTTCATCGCCATTTTGCTCTGTTCTGGAATTTGACTGATAGGAGCTTTCACTCTCTTCATCGCTGATCTTTTCTTCATTTTCGTCTGTATCACTTGATTCGTTGGGAGTTCCGTATGCACGACTTGGATTAGAATAGCGTCCATCAGACTCGCTTACACTTTCGTCTGGAACCCCGTAGGTTCGACTGGGAGGCACATAGACGGAACTGGTGATTCGGTGTTCTATCTGTGGTGTCCCATAAGTTTGGGACGGGGAATCGATGACTATTATTTCTTTTTCATTGCTATCATCTTCTTCCTCATCAGGCGCATCAGCCTTCACAGAATCTTCGTCACTGACTTTAGGAACATCATATGTTATTCTCGGCGGGAAATAAACAGGAGCTACAGGTTTTATTGTGATAGTAGGTGTACCGTATGTTCGTGATGGGGCACTGGATTTTTCTTTTTCATCACTCTCGTCGTCAACAGTAACTTTGTCATCACTAACCGCTGGAACTCCATATGTCCGCTGAGGTGGCAAGAAAATAGGAGTGATCGTTTTAGTTTTTACCTCAGGAGCTCCGTAAGTTGTCGATGGGATGTTGGAATCGTCTGTTGTTTCCTGGCTCGTCTTCTTTACAGTAACAGCAGGAGCACTGTAGGTTCTTCTAGGAGGTGAGTAACGCTGACCTAAGCTAGAGTCTTCACTACTGTCATCCTCAGCATTATCAGCCGCGATTGTCTCTTCACTGAGTTGAGGAACACCATACGTTCTCTTGGGAGGCAAATAAGAACTGCTTGAAGGCCTTACTGCCACTTCAGGAGTGCCGTATGTTCTTGCTGGTGTACTGAACCTGACATTCTCCTTTTCTTCGCTGTCATCATTTATTTCTTCGACATTAATTACTTCCTGACTCACCTCCGGTACTCCATAGGTACTTGATGGTGGATTGGCGTCGCCTCCATCATCGTTGCTATCATCCTCGTCTTCAACGAGAGTTGTTTCTTCGCTAACTTCTGGCACACCGTATGTTCTACTGGGTGTACTTACAGGCTCTGAGTCAATCTCAGGAGCTCCATAAGCTGTTGAAGGCTTATAGGATTCTTCCTCATTTTCCTCACTGTTTTTATTTTCAGTATCTGAAACTACAACTTTTGTGACCTTAGGAACTGCATATGTTCTGAGAGACGCTGCAGAAACTGGTCGTACATGCTTAACACCAACCTCAGGTACTCCATAGGTCCTTGGCGGCACCCTAGTATCTTCCTCATCCTCATCGCTTTCTTTATCATTTTCATTCGCCGAAATGGCACTAACTTGAGGCACACCATATGTCCTTCGAGGGGGTAAATAAAGAGGGCTTGGTGATTTGGTCTCAACTTCAGGAACTCCGTACGTTCTTGATGGAGTACCGAGAGCAACGCTTTCGTCTTCATCACTGCTATCATCAACAGCTTCGACGATAGTTTGCTCTTCATCGTCTTCGGGAATTCCATATGTCTGTTTAGGTGGTACAGGCTCAGGCTGCTCGGTCTTGATATCAGGAACTCCGTAGGTTCTTGAAGGAACATCGATTCTCTCTTCTTCACTATTATCATCGGCAATTTCAGGAATGCCATAAGTCCTTGGTGGAGGTTTAACAGAACTTGCTGATGAGGTCTCCACATCAGGTGCACCATATTTTATTCCGAGAGCACTTGGTTCTGTGTCAGCACTTTCATCACTGTCATCATCGTTTTCGGTGACTAGTTCTTTCCCATCAACATCCGGAACGCCATAGGTCCTTCTAGGAGGTGAATGAAGAGGGTTTGGGATTTCATCATCTTTTTTAGGAGTTTCGTAACTTCTTGGTGGGGGGAAGGAATCGTCGATTTTTTCTTCGTCACTGTCATCTTCGTCAATGGGTTTGATGTCCCCGTCAGGAACACCATATGTCTGCTTAGGTGGTGAATAGAACCGGTTGACAAATCTTGATGCAATTTTTGGAGCCTCGGAAGTTTCTGAAGGCGCGCTGGGTTCGTCATCACTTGCGCCTTTATCACTCTCGTTAATTTCTTCTTCGCTAACGTCAGGGCTTCCGTATATTCTTGACGGTGCTCTCTGTCCACCTGTTGCCGATTCCTTGCTCTCATCTTCTAAAGTTTCGCTGAAAGACTCATCAGGAACACCGTATATTTGACTGGGTGGAGAATATTTCGGACTGGAAACCCTGATGTCTTCTTCGTCAGCTTGTGGTAATCCGTAACTTGTTGCGAGTGTTGCCTCTTTTTCGGTGTCTAAATCAACAACTTGTTCGGGGACACCGTAAGTTCTCCTCGGAGGTATACTTTTGATTTCCTGTCCGGTCGAACTCGATGCGCCATATGTTCGAGAAGATGATCCGTATGATTTGGAATCTTCACTGTCATCGTCGTCACCGTCTCCATCATCATCCGGTTCACCTTTTTTCAATTTTTCAGAATTTTCGCTTGGAACTCCGTAAGACAAGCTTGAAGCAGAATATAATGGTTGAGTGGCTCTCAAATCTTCTCCCTCTTCTCTTTCATCAGAAATTGTCTGAGCTGTTTCAAAATGTGAATTTTTTCTTGTATTTTTTTCTTCTTCGCTTTCTTCAGTGACTTCAGTAAATGGAGGGACGCCGTAAGATTTCCGCGGCGGAGTTCTATCTCGAACAGCTTCGGGCACTCCATATGTTTTCGCTGGTGTGAAATAAATTGATTGAGAAACTTCCTTTTCCTCACTATCATCATCTGTCTGTGATCGACTATAAGTGATCGCCAGATCTTCTGTTATCTCCTCTTCACTCACTTGGGGAGCTGTGTAGGTTTTTAGCGGTGCCTGATAGCTCCTTCGAGGAATTTCAGCTCCGTAGAGTTTTCTTGTTGAGTCTCGTCCACTTGATTCAGATTTTACTGTTTCCTGATTATCCTTAACGGCTTTCAATTGTTCCTCGTTATGTTCATTTTTGAAAGCAGGAGCTGAATATGAGGTCAGTGGAGTTTGGTAAGTACGTGAAGCGGCACTTCCCTGGGTTGTTCGAGTTTCTTCTCTGTTGGCGTATAGAGACGATCCTGAGCTGCTTATCACCACTCTTGATTTTTGACGCCTAGAATTCGAATTCGCGTTTGTTTCCTTAGCCGAGTCTTGTGACTCGGAATTGGAGATTCCTTCCTCTTTCTTTTCTGCTGACGAGTCACGATCTCGACTGACGGTTGCCGGCGCCGTGTATGTTGGTTTAGGCGAGAGTTTGTAAACGTCAACAACTTCTTCAGACTTGTCGTCAGGGTAGAATGGCACACCTTGATACTCGACATTAACCTGGAAACCTGTGTCAGCATCGGCAGAGTATTTTACAGTCTGAAGGCGTCCATCAGGAAGCTGTACTGTGTACATTCCTGTCGTGATCTCTCCATCTGACTGCGACTGGTGAGCAAACTGATTGCCAGAATCTCCGTCTCTTACATCGAACTCATACGCAAATGACCGACCCTGCAAAGAACCGCGTTTCGACATTTAAGACATGGTTGTACAATAAATTAAACATTTTTGGATGATGCTTAATTGTAGAATGAGGAGACCAGTCATTCGTAGTTTTTTAATATAACGTACCGCAAGTACGTCAAAATTTATCGATTATTCAGAATACTTAAATCATGGAATATTTCATTACAATAATGAATCACTTTTCACATAATTGTTTGATAGCTAACAGTATCTTATATATTTTTAATATTCTCATATCAGGTGTTTTAGAAGCTCCTTACAATTTTGTTTTCATCTTACCTTGTGAACGAAATTAGGCTTATTTGTTTTATCTTCCCGCGATTCTTCGGGCCGTTGGGGCGGTCGGTAAGGTGTGCGCGCTGGGTATGTTGCCGAGAAGACCGGTTCTGTGTACGAGTAGCCTATGGGCTCCTCTTCTTTAACCTGTGGTGGGGTGTAGGTACTTTCTGGTTCTTTTGATTCTTTCTTTGATTCTGGAGGAGAAGAATAAGAGGCAGAGAAAGGAGGAGGAGTGTAAGTTCGTGGTTTCGTTCGGACGCTGGATGGGCTTGGAGTCCGCGAGGTGATACCAAAGTGTGCAAGGGCACGTTCGTTTGGGAAGCTGAGTGCTGGACCTGCCAGCAGCAGGAAGCTCACCAATATCTGCAACATAGATTTCCGATTACTAATTGTATTAAACACGAACCCTAATTATAATACCCAATTATTATCCGCACTACTAATATTTTTATTGTGTATTGGATGGGTGGAATAGAATTATTTTACAAAGGAAGCATACATTGGTTGTCTATAGCCGGCAGGCAAAACTCTGAATTAACCGTTTACGATAAGTGCGATAAAACATAAATCTTGACTTGTCCTTTTTAAAAAATCAAACTTTTTGTGCTTAAAATAATGCATACTTGTTAACTATTGCATGAAATTTTGAGTTTTCAAAATGTGAATTATGGGAAATTCTCCGTTACGTGGTATATTTTCTGTTGACTTTTTTTTCACGATACATGTAATTTCTGCTCTTCTTAAGAGAATTTTTACTGATAGAAAGGAAAACTACAGAAAGCCTGGCGATGGGAGTGTCGGTTGATACATTTTTGTCGGTGAAAATGTGTAACAGATTTGCGAAAATAATTTTTGATGAGTGGTTCGAGGCTTAATGCGATCGTAAACTAGATGTTCGTCAGATTCAAATAGTAATCTTCCAAACGATGGAAGTATGCGCCATTATTTCTGAATGATAATATCACGTAGAACTACATGACCTACTGAAGAATAAATTTTTAATTTTCTTCACGCGTTCAGAACAGCACTGGTTTTTCATTGTACTGCGGTTTTATTTCTATTGAAAAAATACCTTTTTGAAGAGTACTATGATACGACGTAATTGTAATTGTAAGCGCTGTCTAGAACACGTATAGGTCTACGGTCCGTGCTATATAAGTATTGAACAGTCGTTAAATCTCCGGCAATTGATTGTGTTCAACTGGCAAGAACTTTCTTGACATGCATGAGATTTCTAAACAATTTATACATGTACGAGTGATATAAGAAGTAACAACTCATAGAAAGCTGGACTGAGATCGTCTTAACTCAAATAATTCAATTTTTCCCAATATTGTTACGCAAGGAAAACAGATACTAATTATTTCATTTTCTCGGTTTTCTATTCATAGCAAATTTCAAAATGATTAAAGGAAAATTAAAACTTCTTGTCCTTGGGTGCTCATTTTTCTGGCCTAAAAATAGAATCGCTCAGAGTAAATTGGTGCAAATACGGCAAGTTTTCAAATGACCCGCCGTCATGATCTAGAAGTGACAGACAACGTGACCTCACATGGGAAAGAGAATTTCGTCTGCAACTTTAATGCTCGTTGGAAATGAGTTGCATGCGCGCGACCTACATGCACGTTGCAGGCGCGTGGTCATGCAGCGCGACCTCAACTTTACGACGTTGGACCAACACTTACGGCTTACGGCCTATACTTTCAAAATTCGCTAAGTGAACGTAAGTACTTGCGCTCTATTTTCTTGTCTATTATTTCTGGATGTTGCTTGAAAAGCCGTCAACGATTGGCCGATGAACTTACGATCTCTAAACTTTTTTTGAAAGTAGAGGCCCATGAGTACAACTGCAAATGAAAACGCGTCAGCCCCGATTCCTTTCCAATTTTGTAGTTTCGTATATTATTAGTTATGTTCGTATATTAACTGGTAAGTTTTTTATCTATAGGTTTTATTGGATTGAATATAATAATGCTGCAGTACTTGAAATTGCTATCATTGCACTAATCTACAATAAGTTATTGGTGCAATGTTGATGGAATGAAGAATGGGCTGAATTTTTAGCTGGAAGTTCAATACTATGCGTGGTGGACCTGTGCAAAAATGTTTTATCGGATCCAAAATACGTTCTCACGCCGTCTTCTCATGTTATTTTTCTACTGTTCATACGAAATATTATGGTATAATTCAGACTTGTTATAATTTCAGAGTTAAAATACTTGTCTTTGCGATAATTTACTTCTAAGTTGAAAAATATTCTTCAAAAACTCTCACCGAAGCACATGTAAAGACATTTAACATCATTATCAAGTTAAAAAATTTTCAAAATGCACTTCACCGATACATACGACCTACACAACAATGCACAGTTCTTACCACAATCTTAAAATTGCAAACGTGTTACGCATAATACGTAATGAATAATTCTAAGCATAACATCAAGACACGACACTCCAGTGACACGGCGAGGAGCACACACCTTGGCGAGCATCACGCCGTATGACGATCTGATGTTTGAGCGGCTGTGCCCTGACCCGCTGCTTATATAGCGACCCGCCCTCTCGCTGCCCCCCTGGGCTGCTGTTAACCTCAGCTGCTTCTGTTACCCTCAGCTCTACTTACGGAGACTTCAGCTGCCCCCGCCACTACTTACTGCAGCCTTGAGTGCCTTTTGTTACTCATTGCTTGCCTTCTGATGCTTCGTGTTCCTTCTCATTTCAATTGTTCACGCTTTTGTCCAATACCACGTCTGAAAAATTATGTAGCATTCTTGATCTCTCCCTTTCTTTAACTAACTGCATTTTTTCCTAATCGTGCTTTTTCTTAATAAGGAGTGCTATTCATTATTATGCTTTTCCGTGTTTTCTGATGCTACTTCATGTAACTAATGCGCAGAATTAACGTAGAAAAATAACATAATGTTAGTCTAAATAAGTTAAAAATATTTAAGACAAATGTTTTGTAAAGCAACGACAATATTGAGAGAGGTTGTTCATGCCGCTCACTATAGGCACCCAAACTCCAGGTCCCGCAGTAGGTTGTGCAAGGTTAGCGTCAGTTATACAAAAACCCGACCAGCATCGTGCGTGCATTATGAGTAGCATTTGAAAGTGATCTCATTCTCTTATGGGTACTTACGTGAACATAAGTCTAAATTATTTACCTTTAATTTTCCAGTGATGTTAAATCACTTCTACTACTGGTGCGAGGGTAGGTTGACTCGTGGATTCAGGATATCGCAATCACGTTCAGGGTAATTTCTTTAAAATGGCGTTTAGGGTAATTTCTTTAACATTGCGTTTAGGGTAATTTCTTTAACATAGCGTTTAGGGTAATTTCTTTGACATGGCGTTTAGGGTAATTTCTTTAATATGGCGTTCAGGGCAACTGGCGTTCGGGCGCTGACGAAAAATATGCAAGCTGTAGGTCATCGTACCTGACTCGTAAGACCTCTAAGGCATCCTCTTTAATTATTACTCGTTGCAGATCAAACGAGTCGACTGTCACCTGGTAATTTTTTCAACGTTGATATTGTGATAAATAGTGCACGTGGTTTAAAATACAATAAAGTATATTATTCATTTCTAAATGATTTAAGAATCACCGTACAGATCCGGATTACTTACCTTGAATCAATTGAAATGAATAGAACTTATTTACCATATCCTGGTTATTCGTTAGCAGTTTTATTGAAGGATGCTGTGGGAGTAGTTCACAGTCTGAGTCTAAGTATGAGCTACTTTTTTTAAAGGTCAAGAAAACAGCGGAATTTTATTCGCTCAGAGCATATTCAAGCTCCAGGTCATTGGTCGTCTCATGCACACAAAGTGAGACAAATAACAAAGGCTAAAAGTTCACTTTTTTCTGTCCAGTGGTTCACGAACTTATGACTGAAAAGAAGAGGGCGATCGAGGGACAAAATTCAATTAATGAGTCTGATGTTGATAAAAAATTCTCCGTCTTCATAAATCCAGCAACCAAAGACCACTTCCTGAAGGTACTATTAACTAACTTAATTAGAGAAGCTCGTTACACTCACAGCAACGAATGGGTCATATAGCCAAATTATTGGCACACTTTCTCACTAACAGTACGACTCTATGCCCGCTCAAACTGGGTCAGGATGACCCACAGAAGAGAAAAGAGTGCGTCATCATTTGGATTAAATTTCAATCACTTGCCGGAGTGTAGATGATTGGCTTTCCTGCACAACGATCTGACTATCGGCAGGCGTTGCTTATAAATGAAAGTTATCGAAGTTTTAAATTTATTATTAAAGTTATCGAAGTTATAATGAAGTTATCATTATATAAAGTTATTATTAAAGTTATCGAAGGTATCCGGAGCAGGCAAACTTCAAGATGGTTTTAGAATGTGACCCTTGATGCTCTTTTCATAACACATAACAGATAATAATCGAATGGACCATTAATACGCAATTTATCTATGAGAATTTGTTTTATTGAGAATTTTCTTACCAGTTTTTTCAATGTCTCGAGTAATATTTTTCTTTTGCATCAGTAAATCGAAAATCAGGATACCGATGGACATTTTTAATTCGTTAACAAGTTTTCGAATGTATCAATCGTTTAATATCAAGTTACAAGACGCATTGAGTGATGAAATTTGGATTGACATAAGGGGAGCACAGCCGTGCACCACCAATTTTGTGCACCAATAAGCCCTGAATCGAACGCCTTGCATGATTTCTCCGGACATCCACCAATCAGCCGTGCACCACTCGGCTTTGTCCTCCTACGGCCTTGCATAAAACCTGCCGTGCACCACCAGGCCGCGGATCGAATATGACTTCCGGGCATCGTAAAATTACGCAATTTTACGTTTACCGCATCTGAGGTTAGGTTTCAGATAGCAGAGTTTTGTTCCAAAATTTATCGTCCTTCGACGAGTGACCGTTCGACCGAGGGCTGGTTCGACGCACGGCCTAGATATGACTGTCCAGGAGTGTTGAAGGCTACGTTCCGGAAGGCAGGAATCATGATGGTCCATTACATCCAGGGCAGTTGTGGTCTTCGGCAGGCGACCCGACATAAGCACAAAATTATGTGAATAAGATGCTACTCAAAAATCAGAATTCGATTAGAAATAATTACAAAACCACGAAAATATGAAGATGATGAAGGATTAAAGCACAAAAAATTACTCCGAAAATAGTCTCAAGGTTCTGACAAATCCAGTAGTCTGAAAGTTGATGGCTGGGGTCCCATCCTTAATTTAATGATGAAGGCCTCGGCTGTCGCGAGTCGGTTGGCGTCGGGGCATCTGACGATGCTGGTGCATTCTTCCAGCACCGTACGGGTGATGGTCTCGTTTTGGGCTTCCATCAGGTGGTTCCTTGGTCCACCAGACTGAAGGTGGCACGTGAGACGTCGGTTTAATGTCGTAGTTGTGAGCGCGATGTAGTCCATATTAGGGAGAAGTCTACAACCTTCTCTATTGCAGGAAAATTTATTTACTACATTAATCTCTTGGAAAACTCCCGTTTCCTATATAAGGGTTATTGTTCATCAAAGATTCCATATTTTGTTATTTTTATAATGGATCCATAGCTTAATTTTATGCTTATTTATGCTTATTATGTTGTGAACGTTGGATTAAAGGATTCGTTCATCTGCTTTATAACCGCTGGTCAATTGATTCTCGAAGCAGATGTTGTGACGTTTGCGTTAGTCTCTGGTTCGTCGTTGAGCCTGTTTTTGGTTCAATCGAAATTTTGAGATTTCTGTGTGACTGTGTCGATGGTTCTATTGGCTAATCCATTATTGACTAAGATTCTTTCACAATTCCTCAGCTCCGTATTTAAGTCATTTTCAGATGAGTAGGTTTTGAGAGCTCGTTGGATGAGAGCACGTATTGTGCTTCTTTTGTGGCGCTCTGGGCAGTCGCAGGCGGCGATCAGGACTCTCCCGACATCTGTTGGCTCTCGATCGGTATACTTTGGCGACGAACGAATTATTTTTAGCTTGAACGAATCTACCTAAAAAGCACGATTTTGTCAGAGTTCGTAAGTAAACTCCAAGTCAGAAAACATTTCAAAGGCCCTATACGTAATTTCCTCAGTTGCTCTTCATCTCGAACGACAACGAAGATTTCATCGAGATACCTGCAGTACAATTAGGGATTGATCTGTTCATCTGAAAGTACTCGATTTTAAATTTGGCACATAAAGTAATTAGCAATAGTCGGACCAAGGTTTGTCGCTGTTGGTTTGTCGGTATTCCGGAAAGGTGATTCGGAAGTGCAGTCATCGATCTCCTTAATTCAACTCTTTAGTAATTAATGAACGATTGATATATTCGAAAGGTTTTTAATGAATTTAAAAATGTCCATCGGTCCATTTGATGCCACTCCAAAAAAGTCCAGTTGATGCCAAATACGATGCACCAGTTCAAACGAAAAATATTGTTCGATATATTGAAAAATTACTAAGAAAATTGTCAATAAAACAAATTCTCTTGTCATATACTGTAGGAACAAATTCTACCTACCTATACTAATTTATATATTAAACATATAGGATGCTCGCATGTGATATACACGGTATAGACGATAGGACAATGATATACTCGTCTGCATTATGCATTCATGAAAGATATTTTGGACGTATACGATGCCAACATAATCCCTACTTGCCGCATATGCATATGAAACGCACGTGACACATTCATGGTACATATATGCGTCATACATGAAATACATGGTACAAACATGGAAATACATTATGAATGCATGTGAATACAGGGGACTTCGTGTATATTAAACTCTGATTTACAATAATTTTAAGCCGCTGTTAAGTGTTAATGTTATTCCAAATTCACTGCTTCAGGGGTTTCTAATTTTTGGTTGAGTTATGACAAGTCATGATCGTGCTCTGGAAAACCAATGAATTTATTTATTCGATAGTTTTAATACGTAGAGTTTCGAAGTGATCTTATTGATTTATTTATTATTTGTACCTATACATACAAATAATAAATATACCGATTTATTATTTGTACCTAAATAAAATACTGTGGATATTTCCTTCACGGCAATTGCAATCGAGACGCAATTATTTCAGAACAAAATTTACTAACCATTTGATTAAAAAAGCTGCATTCAAAATATTGTTCGACTGTTATAGCCAATGCTGGCTTCAATCGGACAAAAAATATAATTGTCTCTTATCTTTCTCTTATCTTTAAAGAAGCTTAGTTTAAACTATATAATATTACGTTCGTGATCCTCTGAATGATGATGCCAATGATGTAATTACACTGAGCTGCAGTAAAGAGAAGCTGATCACCCACATCTTCGTCGAGCAAATTAAAGAACCAGTTTTGGAAAGCAATGACCTCGTCCGGAGCGTCAGGCTAAGGAACTCTAAATTTTGCTTGTTTATCAAATGATCGTCTCTGTGTTCAGGCAGAGGAAATGATGTAGAACTCGATCATTTCTCCGCACATTTGATTTATGTGCCAACTTTCTTTTACAGTAGCTCGTCATTCCTCGAGATATTGACAATAATTTTATTTTTAAATTGGATT